GTGACATCAGGGTTTAGAACAGTGGCATCGGGGATTAGAACAGTGGCATCAGGGTTTAGAACAGTGACATCAGGGTTTAGAACAGTGGCATTGGGGATTAGAACAGTGACATCAGGGTTTAGAACAGTGACATCAGGGTTTAGAACAGTGACATCAGGGTTTAGAACAGTGACATCAGGGTTTAGAACAGTGACATCGGGGATTAGAACAGTGGCATTGGGGATTAGAACAGTGACATCGGGGTTTAGAACAGTGACATCGGGGTTTAGAACAGTGGCATCGGGGTTTAGAACAGTGGCATCGGGGATTAGAACAGTGACATCGGGGATTAGAACAGTGGCATTGGGGATTAGAACAGTGACATCGGGTTTAGAACAGTGACATCGGGGATTAGAACAGTGACATCAGGGTTTAGAACAGTGGCATCGGGGATTAGAACAGTGACATCAGGGTTTAGAACAGTGACATCGGGGTTTAGAACAGTGACATCGGGGTTTAGAACAGTGACATCGGGGTTTAGAACAGTGACATCGGGGATTAGAACAGTGGCATCGGGGATTAGAACAGTGACATCATGGTTTAGAACAGTGACATCAGGGTTTAGAACAGTGGCATCAGGGTTTAGAACAGTGGCATCGGGGATTAGAACAGTGACATCGGGGTTTAGAACAGTGGCATCGGGGATTAGAACAGTGGCATCGGGGATTAGAACAGTGGCATTGGGGATTAGAACAGTGGCATTGGGGATTAGAACAGTGACATCAGGGATTAGAACAGTGGCATCGGGGATTAGAACAGTGACATCAGGGTTTAGAACAGTGACATCAGGGTTTAGAACAGTGGCATCAGGGTTTAGAACAGTGACATCAGGGATTAGAACAGTGACATCGGGGTTTAGAACAGTGGCATCGGGTTTAGAACAGTGGCATTGGGGACTAGAACAGTGACATCAGGGTTTAGAACAGTGACATCAGGGTTTAGAACAGTGACATCGGGGATTAGAACAGTGACACTGGGGATTAGAACAGTGACATCGGGGATTAGAACAGTGGCATCGGGGATTAGAACAGTGGCATTGGGGATTAGAACAGTGACATCAGGGATTAGAACAGTGGCATCGGGGATTAGAACAGTGACATCTGGGTTTAGAACAGTGACATCTGGGTTTAGAACAGTGACATCAGGGTTTAGAACAGTGGCATCGGGGATTAGAACAGTGACATCTGGGTTTAGAACAGTGGCATTGGGGATTAGAACAGTGACATCGGGGATTAGAACAGTGGCATTGGGGATTAGAACAGTGGCATCGGGGATTAGAACAGTGGCATTGGGGACTAGAACAGTGGCATCAGGGATTAGAACAGTGACATCTGGGTTTAGAACAGTGACATCTGGGTTTAGAACAGTGACATCAGGGTTTAGAACAGTGGCATCGGGGATTAGAACAGTGACATCAGGGTTTAGAACAGTGGCATTGGGGATTAGAACAGTGACATCGGGGATTAGAACAGCGGCATCGGGTTTAGAACAGTGGCATCAGGGTTTAGAACAGTGGCATTGGGGATTAGAACAGTGACATCAGGGTTTAGAACAGTGACATCAGGGTTTAGAACAGTGACATCAGGGTTTAGAACAGTGGCATTGGGGACTAGAACAGTGGCATCAGGGATTAGAACAGTGGCATTGGGGATTAGAACAGTGACATCAGGGATTAGAACAGTGGCATCGGGGTTTAGAACAGTGACATCAGGGATTAGAACAGTGGCATTGGGGATTAGAACAGTGGCATCAGGGATTAGAACAGTGGCATTGGGGATTAGAACAGTGACATCAGGGATTAGAACAGTGGCATTGGGGACTAGAACAGTGACATCAGGGTTTAGAACAGTGACATCAGGGTTTAGTTAATTGGGCTGCCTGTTTAAACAGAGGGACACAGACATATAAGGGTTTAGGACAAAACCACTGAAAGTCAGGGTCTCATCATCATGTTCAAACAGCTGAGCTTGACTTCCCTCACATTTTCAAAAAAAGAAATGAGAGGTATTCATGATGGACAAATGAGGTGATTTGGACACATAATGAGATTAACATGAGAATAGAATTAAACACATTGCTTATTTGACCTCTGTGGACGTGGCATAGCATATTTGTATTCTAAATGAGTGAAATGTGGTTTTGACCTCAGCTTGGTGATCGAGGCCAGAGGAGTTTGATTCTGGCTCTATTCCACCTTTTATCAAAAACTAATGAACAGACAGTGTCTCTTGTTCACGATTAATAACAGTCGATCAGTGTGTGCGTGCGAGTGTGTGTGTGTGTGTGTGTGTGCGCGAGTGTGTGTGTGTGTGTGTGTGTGTGTGTGCGCGAGTGTGTGTGTGTGTGTGTGTGTGTGTGTGCGTGCGTGCGTGCGTGCGTGCGTGCGTGCGTGCGTGCGTGCGTGCGTGCGTGTGTGTGTCCACCTACCAGTATCTCCATCTTGTAGAGCCCAGCCAGTTCTCTCATGTCTCTGAAGGGTTGTAGCAGGTACTGGTAGAAGGTGGTTGCTACGGTGACCAGGTCCTGGTAGGCTAGGTCCTCGTCGTCGTAGAGCTGCAGCAGTAGGATCATTCTGTCTGCACCTCCATGACTCTGTAGGATCTGTCAATCAATCAATCTATACATTAATCCATTAGGCTAAATCAATCAAATTATATTCAGACAAACAGACTAGCGTTATACAGTATCTCACGTATACAAAAATCAATGTATTTGTCAGGTGACTGCCAATTCAATTTATGACCTGTGGAATGGACTATGGCCAACTTCAGATGTAGCAGAAGTCAAAGTCCAAAGTCACTGACCTGTATGAAGTCCTGTATCTACTTCCCCGGAGTCAGATCAACTCGTGGATACCATGTTTATGTCTCTGCGTTCAGTATGAAGGAAGTTAGAGGTAGTTTTGCAAGCCAATGCTAACTAGCGTCCGTGCTAGCTTAGCGCAAAGACTGGAAGTATCCGAAGACTTCCAGTCTTAGTGCTAAGCTAGTTAGCATTGGCTCGCGAAACTACCTCTAACTTCCTTCATTCTGGACGCAGAGGCATAAACATGGTATCCACAAGTTGATCTGACTCTGGAGAAGATAAAGGGCATCATCCCAAACGATCCTTTTGAGTCTTCTCCCAGAGCTAAGCTAATGCCTTTAGCTCAGTGAAGGAACACAGTCCTATAGCCCACAGATGACCCTGGCCTGATTACTGTTCGTTATGATGACAGACAGATATACAGTTGAAGTCGGAAGTTTACATACACTTAGGTTGGAGTCATTAAAACTCGTTTTTCAACCACTCCACAAATGTATTGTTAACAAACTATAGTTTTGGCATGTCGGTTAGGACATCTACTTTGTGCATGACACAAGTAATCTTTCCAACAATTCTTTACAGACAGATTATTTCACTGTATCACAATTCCAGTGGGTCAGAAGTTTACATACACTAAGTCGACTGTGCTTTTAAACAGCTTGGAAAATTCCAGAAAATGATGTCATGGCTTTAGAAGCTTCTGATAGGCTAATTGACATAATTTGAGTCAATTAGAGGTGTACCTGTGGATGTATTTCAAGGCCTACCTTCAAACGCAGTGCCTCTTTGCTTGACATCATGGGAAAATCAAAAGAAATCAGCCAAGACCTCAGAAAATAAATTGTAGACCTCCACAAGTCTGGTTCATCCTTGGGAGCAATTTCCAAACGCCTGAAGGTACCACGTTCATCTGTACAAACAATAGTAAGCAAGTATAAACACCATGGGACCACACAGCCGTCATACCGCTCAGGAAGGAGACACGTTCCGTCTCCTAAAGATGAACGTACTTTGGTGCGAAAAGTGCAAATCAATCCCAGAACAACAGCAAAGGACCTTGTGAAGATGCTGGATGAAACGGGTAAAAAAGTATCTATATCCACAGTAAAACGAGTCCTATATCGACATAACCTGAAAGGCCGCTCAGCAAGAAAGAAGCCACTGCTCCAAAACCGCCATAAAAAAGCCAGACTACGGTATGCAACTGCACATGGGGACAAAGATTGTACTTTTTGGAGAAATATCCTCTGGTCTGATGAAACAAAAATAGAACTGTTTGGCCATAATGACCATCGTTATGTTTGGAGGAAAAAGGGGGTAGCTTGCAAGCCGAAGAACAACATCCCAACCGTGAAGCACGGGGTTGGCAGCATCATGCTGTGGGGGTGCTATTGCTGCAGGAGGGACTGGTGCACTTCACAAAATAGATGGCATCATGAGGAAGGAAAATTATGTGGATATATTGAAGAAACATCTCAAGACATCAGTCGGGAAGTTAAAGCTTGGTCACAAATGGGTCTTCCAAATGGACAATGACCCCAAGCATACTTCCAAAGTTGTGGCAAAATGGCTTAAGGACAACAAAGTCAAGGTATTGGAGTGGCCATCACAAAGCCCTGACCTCAATCCTATAGAACATTTGTGGGCATTTTACTAAGATTAAATGTCAGGAATTGTGAAAAACTGAGTTTAAATGTATTTGGCTAAGGTAAACTTCCGACTTCAACTGTAGGTCTTGTTTTATTTATCTCTGGAGATCTATTCTACCACAACTTAATGTGGTCTTAGAGTCCCACTGTTCCAGTACTCAGTGTACTGGAGCGGACGCTATCATGAGTCAGATGTTCATTCCAGCAACATATGTGTGTGTGTGTGTGGTGTGGTGTGTGGTGTGTGTGTGTTGCGTCTCAGCCCCTGAAGTGACTGGTTAAACTCTATGGGACCATCTAACCATCTTTACCCCACTACAGTAAATGACCCTGACGTGATATATCTTAAGGATCATTTGGGCTAAACTGGAGTTTATTCCATTAGATTCCCCGATATATAATGTATTAATGATTTGATTAAAAAAAGGTCTCACATTTGATTCAACTGGGGATTAAATTCTTAATATATTGGCATGCATAAGAAAAAAATCTAAGAGGATGTTAATTCTAGAGCTTGCTGTGTTTGTACTTGGGAAAAACAAATTGCGACACAGCAAACTTACAATGAACATGCTTGATACCACTGTTAGGTCCCTGAGGACACCAGAGCACAAAATAGAAGGGTTGGAATCAGAACTTCAAGCATGCGAAAAAGAGCATCATCTGACTAGGTCATTTCTACATGACCTGACTAGGTCATTTCTACATGATCTGACTAGATCATTTCTACATGACACACAGCGAGATTTGTTAAAACAGAGCACAAACAGGCTCCAAAGCGACATGTCTGAATCGGATGGACGCACAGTCAGTCCCACCTACGGTGTGGCTTGCGTCTCCACGCCACTCTCTAATGTGTGGGTGGGCCAAGCTACCGAAATAGCCCCCCGTTGCAGCTATTAGGACGGGTACAGAGGCTAATCCCACAAAGCGTTGTTGTGATTTCTCTAAAAACGGGATACGGTCTGGCGCTGTTGGAACCCAGGCAGAGAGGATATCCTCCTACAAAATGACCTACTCAGTTAGGGGTTTTTTGTAAGTCGTCAGAAAAGCGGTCACACATGGCAGAAACGTTGGGATTTAGGGAGGGGCAGACTGTCTCCGTTCTGCTTTCAACATATGATTTGGAGCTCTCTCAAAAAAACTTGGGATATTGATTATTTGACTTGACTTGTGTGAACCAATTCTTCCTTTACAACTCAATCGTTTCTATATCCACTTGTTACGGCTATGTAGGCTATATTTTTGAATGGGATTTTTTTTTTTTTTTTATGTGTACAGATTGCCAGACAAAATGTAATGGCTCCTGTTCCTCAAATAATAGTTGTTGTCCTATGCGTACTACATATGGCTAAGACCATCTGTATGTACAGTGGAGAGAACAAGTATTTGATACACTGCCGATTTTGCAGGTTTTCCTACTTACAAAGCATGTAGAAGTCTGTAATTTTTATCATAGGTACACTTCAACTGTGAGAGACGGAATCTAAAACAAAAATCCGAAAATCACATTGTATGATTTTTAAGTAATGAATTTGCATTTTATTGCATGACATAAGTATTTGATACATCAGAAAAGCAGAACTTAATATTTGGTACAGAAACCTTTGTTTGCAATTACAGAGATCATACATTTCCTGTAGGTCTTGACCAGGTTTGCACACACTGCAGCAGGGATTTTGGCCCACTCCTCCATACAGACCTTCTCCAGATCCTTCAGGTTTCGGGGCTGTCGCTGGGCAATACGGACTTTCAGCTCCCTCCAAAGATTTTCTATTGGGTTCAGGTCTGGAGACTGGCTAGGCCACTCCAGGACCTTGAGATGCTTCTTACGGAGCCACTCCTTAGTTGCCCTGGCTGTGTGTTTCGGGTCGTTGTCATGCTGGAAGACCCAGCCACGACCCATCTTCAATGCTCTTACTGATGGAAGGAGGTTGTTGGCCAGGATCTCGCGATACATGGCCCCATCCATCCTCCCCTCAATACGGTGCAGTCGTCCTGTCCCCTTTGCAGAAAAGCAACCCAAATAATGATGTTTCCACCTCCATGCTTCACAGTTGGGAGGGTGTTCTTGGGGTTGTACTCATCCTTCTTCTTCCTCCAAACACGGCGAGTGGAGTCTAGACCAAAAAGCTATATTTTTTATCTCATCAGACCACATGACCTTCTCCCATTCCTCCTCTGGATCATCCAGATGGTCATTGGTAAACTTCAGATGGTCCTGGACATGCGCTGGCTTGAGCAGGGAGACCTTGCGTGCGCTGCAGGATTTTAATCCATGACGGCGTAGTGTTTTACTAATGGTTTTCTTTGAGACTGTGGTCCCAGCTCTCTTCAGGTCATTGACCAGGTCCTGCCGTGTAGTTCTGGGCTGATCCCTCACCTTCCTCATCATCATTGATGCCCCACGAGGTGAGATCTTGCATGGAGCCCCAGACCGAGGATGATTGACCCTCATCTTGAACTTCTTCCATTTTCTAATAATTGCACCAACAGTTGTTGCCTTCTCACCAAGCTGCTTGCCTATTGTCCTGTAGCCCATCCCAGCCTTGTGCAGGTCTACAATTTTATCCCTGATGTCCTTACACAGCTCTCTGGTCTTGGCCATTGTGGAGAGGTTGGAGTCTGTTTGATTGAGTGTGTGGACAGGTGTCTTTTATACAGGTAACGAGTTCAAACAGGTGCAGTTAATACAGGTAATGAGTGGAGAACATGAGGGCTTCTTAAAGAAAAACTAACAGTTCTGTGAGAGCCGGAATTCTTACTGGTTGGTAGGTGATCAAATACTTATGTCATGCAATAAAATGCAAATTAATTACTTAAAAATCATACAATGTGATTTTCGGATTTTTGTTTTAGATTCCGTCTCTCACAGTTGAAGTGTACCTATGATAAAAATTACAGACCTCTACATGCTTTGTAAGTAGGAAAACCTGCAAAATCGGCAGTGTATCAAATACTTGTTCTCCCCACTGTATATGGGCGGCAGATAGCTTAGCTTAGAGCGCTGTGCCAGTAACCGAAAGGTCGCTGGTTCTAATCCCAGAGCCGACTAGGTGAAAAATCTGTTGATGTGCACTTAACCCTAATTGCTCCTGTAAATCGCTCTGGATAAGAGCGTCTGCTAAATGACTAAAATGTAAATGTAGATGTGTGTACTATGATGTCACTGCCTAATGTTGGGATGCTACACTTCATTTCCAAATTTATTGTGAAACCAACTCTTATCATTTTATTTATATTTTGAGTTGTTTGAAAGTAGTTTTTGATTTAATTTCAAAAATTGTTTCGAGATTATGGTTATTTTGTTCTCATTTTCAGGGAAAATCAATTTCCTCTCAAAGGGAGGAGTTTTGGAGAGTTTTAATTTCAAATATACTGTATTTTATGATGCAGTGAGCTCTGATCATCTTTTGACTTTATAAAACCACATCTGAAGTTGCTATTGACCAACCCAATCAGATAAACAGACTATTTGATGTTCATTGAAATGTTGAATGAATCTGTGATGTCTTGGTGTACCTCCAGTCTCTGTGTTTTGCTCTTACAAAGAAGAATGGAGCATTCCTTTCTAGCTTGCTTGCAGGAAGGTGTTACCGAAGGACATTTGCATGTCTAAAGCAGAAGACAATGCTACCCACTCCTGAAGTGGTGCTGCTAGGACCATGAACTGCTGGTCTGAAGATTGTCTGCAGTGACTACAGTGCTGGCCGTCCGGTTCCGTCTGATCCAGAATCAGATGTTCAAAGGAGAATTATCTAGGGCTGCACAGCCCCTGAAGAGACTCTTTACACTATGTAAAAGGTTGTATTGTCTTCTCAGGAAGTCAGCCTTCTCTGTGCTGCTATCAACCATCCAAATTCTATCAAACCTCTCTGTGAAGCACAATTGAGAGCATCCGGCACAATTGAGAGCATCCCATGTGGTCCTCTGTAGCTCAATTGGTAGAGCTTGGCGCTTGTAACGCCAGGGTAGTGGGTTCGATCCCCGGGACCACCCATACACAAAAATGTATGCACACATGACTGTAAGTCGCTTTGGATAAAAGCGTCTGCTAAATGGCATATTATTATTATATTATTATTTATCCCGTCGGGCTGTATCACCGCCTGGTATGGCAACTGCACTGCCCACAACCGCAGGGCTCTCCAGAGGGTGGTGCAGTATGCACAACTCATTACCGGGGGCAAACTACCCACCCTCCAGGACAGCTACAGCACCCGATGTCACAGGAAGGCCAAAAAGATAATCAAGGACAACTATCACCCGAGCCACTGCCTGTTCACCCCGCTATCATCCAGAAGGCGAGGTCAGTACAGGTGCATCAAAGCTTGGACCGAGAAATTGAAAAACAGCTTCTATCTCAAGGCCATCAGACTGTTAAACAGCCATCACTAGCACAGAGAGGCTGCTGCCTACATACAGACTTGAAAATCACTGGCAACTTTAATAAATGGAACACTAGTCACCTTAATAATGTTTACATATCTTGCATTACCCATCTCATATGTATATACTGTATTCTATTCTATCCATATGTATTTACTGTATTCTATACTATCTATTGCATCTTAGCCTATGCCACTCTGATAATGACATTGCTCATCTATATATTTATATATTCTTATTCCATTCCTTAACTTAGATTTGTGGAACTGTTAGATGTTACTTGCTAGATATTGCTGCACTGTCGGAACTAGAAGCACAAGCATTTCGCTACACTCACAATAACATCTGCTAACCATGTGTATGTGACCAATACATTTGATTTGATTTCAATTTTAGTCACTTAGCAGACACTCTTATCCAGAGCGACTTACAGTTAGTGAGTGCATACATTTTTTTTTCTTCATACTGGCCCCCCGTGGGAATCGAACCCACAACCCAACTGAGCTACACGGGGTCCTGTTTACATCCTGTAGGTCTGATATCTGATTGGAGGTTAACTTTACAGTAATTCTATTGGTCAACAAGTCAGATTTAGAATCCAAACAACTCAGATGTTATAAAAGGGGTCTCAGCTTGATTGTGTCTTTGTTCCTGACCTGCCACAGTGAGATACACTCTCCCTTTTTCTCTATTATCCACATGGTCTCTCTCTCTCTCTCTCTCTCTCTCTCTCTCTCTCTCTCTGTCTCTCTCTCCTCTCTCTCTCTCGGTTTCTCTGTCATTTTTGGATACTTTACTGTCTCTTCTTGTCTCAGTCTCTCGGTTATCTCATCGGCGTTCTGTTTTCTTATCTGGTCTCTCTCCTCCTCTGTCTCTGTCTCGGTCTCTCTTCGTGCTCGGTCTCTCTCGTGTCTCTCGGTCTCTCTCTGTCTCTCGGACTCTCTCTGTCTCTCGGTCTCTCTCTGTCTCTTCGGTCTCTCTGTCTCTCGGTCTCTCTCGGTCTCTTCGGTCTCTCTCTGTCTCTCGGCTCTCTCGGTCTCTCTCGGTTCTCTTCGTCTCTCGGTCTTCTCTCTCCGGCTATCTCGTTCTCTCTCTGGTCTCTCTCTTCTCGGTCTCTCTCTTCTCTTCTCTCTCGGTCTCTATCTCTTCGCGTCTCTCTCTCTCTCTCTCTCGTCTCTCTCGTCTCTCTCTCGTCTCTCTCCTCATCTCTCTGGTCCTCTTCTCTCTCTGTCTCTCTCTCTCTTGTCTCTCTCTCTCTCTATCTCTCTCTTTCTCGGTCTCTCTGTCTCTCTCTCTGTCTCTTCCTCTCTCGTTTCTCTGTTTTCTCGTCTCTTCTCGTCCTCTCTCGGGGGCTCTCTCTCTTGGGGTCTCTCGTTTCTCTCTCTCTCTCTCTCGGTCTCTCTCTCTCTCTCGGTCTCTCAATTCAATTCAATTCAATTTAAGGGCTTTTTTGGCATGGGAAACGTGTGTTAACATTGCCAAAGCAAGTGAAGTAGATAGTAAACAAAAGTGAAATAAACAATAAATATTAACAGTAAACATTACACTCTCTCTCTCGGTCTCTCTCTCTCTGTCTCTCTCTGTCTCTCTCTCTCTCTCTGTCTCTCTCTCTCTGTCTCTCTCGGGGTCTCTCGGTCTCTCTCGGGGTCTCTCGGCCTCTCTCTCTCTCTCTCTTCTCGGTCTCTCTCTCTCTCGGCCCTCTCTCTTCTCATGTCTCTCTCTCGGTCTCTCTTCTCGGTCTCTATCTCTTCTCGGGGTCTCTCTCTCTCTCTCGGGGTCTCTCTCTCTCTCTCTCTCGGGGTCTCTCTCTCTCGGGGTCTCTCTCTCTCGGGGTCTCTCGTTCTCTCTCTCTCTCGGTCTCTCTCTCTCTCTCGGTCTCTCTCTCTCTCTCTCTGTCTCTCTCTCTCTCGGTCTCTCAATTCAATTCAATTCAATTCAATTTAAGGGCTTTATTGGCATGGGAAACGTGTGTTAACATTGCTAAAGCAAGTGAAGTAGATAGTAAACAAAAGTGAAATAAACAATAAATATTAACAGTAAACATTACACTCTCTCTCGGTCTCTCTCTCTCTCTCTCTCTCTCTCTGTCTCTCTCTCTGTCCCTCTCTCTGTCTCTCTCGGGGTCTCTCGGTCTCTCTCGGGGTCTCTCGGGGTCTCTCTCTCGGGGTCTCTCGGTCTCGCTCTCTCTCTGGGTCTCTCTCTCTGTCTCTGTCTCTCTCTCTCTGTCTCTCGGGGTCTCTCTCGGGGTCTCTCGGTCTCTCTCTCTCTCTGGGTCTCTCGGTCTCTCTCTCTCTCTCATTGGGAGGCCAATCTTCTCCAACACTCCCTGTCTCATTCTCTCAATTCAATGCAAGGGGCTTTATTGGCATGACAAACATATATTTACATGGCCAAGTCAAATAGATAATAAACTAAACTTAAATAAACAATAACAAATGAACAGTAAACATTACACTCACAAAAGTTTGAAAGGAATAGAGACATTTCAAATGTCATATTATGGCTATGTACAGTGTTATAACGATGTGCAAATAGTTAAAGTACAAAAGGGAAAATAAATAAACAAATATGGGTTGTATTTACAATGGTGTTTGTTCTTCACTGGTTGCCCTTTTGTGGCAACAGGTCACACATCTTGCTGCTGTGATGGCACACTGGTATTTCACCCAGTAGATAAGGGAGTTGATCAAAATTGGATTTGTTTTCTAATTCTTTGTGGGTCTGTGTAATCTGAGAGAAATATGTGTCTCTAATATGGTCATACATTTGGCAGGAGGTTAGGAAGTGCAGCTCAGCTTTCCTTAAGTTTGGGTCAGTCACAGTGGTCAGATATTCTGCCACTGTGTACTCTCTGTTTAGGGCCAAGGAGCATCCTAGTTTGCGCTGTTTAAATGTTTTTTATTTACAATGTGTCAAGTAATTCTCTTTTTGTTTTCTAATGATTTGGTTGGGTCTAATTGTGTTGCTGTCCTGGGGCTCTGTGGGGTCTGTTTGTGTTTGTGAACAGAGCCCCAGGATCAGCTTGCTTAGGGGACTCTTCTCCAGGTTCATCTCTCTGTAGGTGATGGCTTTGTTATGGAAGGTTTGGAATCGCTTCCTTTTAGGTGTTTGTAGAATTTAACGGCTCTTTTCTGGATTTTGATAATCAGCCTAATTCTGCTCTGCATGCATTATTTGGTGTTTTTCGTTGTACACAAAGGATGTTCTTGCAGAATTCTGCGTGCAGAGTCTCAATTTGGTGGTTGTCCCATTTTGTGAATTCTTGGTTGGTGAGCGGATCCCAGACCTCACAACCATAAAGGGCAATGGGTTCTAGAAATGATTCAAGTATTTTTAGACAGATCAAATTTTATGTTCCTTTTGATGGCATAGAAAGCCCTTCTTGCTTTGTCTCTCAGATAATTCTCTCTCTCTCTCTCTCTCTCTCTCTCCCCCTCTTCAACATCTACACTCTCTCTCCAAGCTAATCCAGCCTCAGTGCTCACCTCACACCCCCAGGATTAGAGCAGCATGGTACAGGGAATAAGGAGAGAAGAATTCATTTATCTGCCTTTGAAACATCTTTTATATGTGTTATTATTTTGTTGTGTATATAAACACAGTATAGGTCTACAGTGGCTTGCGAAAGTATTCACCCCCCTTGGCATTTTTCCTATTTTGTTGCCTTACAACCTGGAATTAAAATGGATTTTTTGGGTGTCTGTATCATTTGATTTACACAACATGCCTACCACTTTGAAGATGCAAAATATTTTTTCTTGTGAAACAAACAAGAAATAAGACAGAAAAACAGAAAACTTGAGCGTGCATAACTATTCACCCCCCCAAAGTCAATATTTTGTAGAGCCACCTTTTGCAGCAATTACAGCTGCAAGTCTCTTGGGGTATGTCTCTATAAGCTTGGCACATCTAGCCACTGGGATTTTTGCACATTCTTCAAGGCAAAACTGCTCCAGCTCTTTCAAGTTGGATGGGTTCCGCTGGTGTACAGCAATCTTTAAGTCATATCACAGATTCTCAATTGGATTGAGGTCTGGCCTTTTGACTAGGCCATTCCAAGACATTTAAATATTTCCCCTAAAACCACTTGAGTGTTGCTTTAGCAGTATGCTTAGAGTCATTGTTCTGCTGGAAGGTGAACCTCCGTCCCAGTCTCAAATCTCTGGAAGACTGAAACAGGTTTCCCCTCAAGAATTTCCCTGTATTTAGCGCCATCCATCATTCCTTCAATTCTGACCAGTTTCCCAGTCCCTGCAGATGAAAAACATCCCCACAGCATGATGCTGCCACCACCATGCTTCACTGTGGGGATGGTGTTCTCGGGGTAATGAGAGGTGTTGGTTTGCGCCAGACATAGCGTTTTCCTTGATGGCCAAAAAGCTAAATTTTAGTCTCATCTGACTCATCCGTCTCAACACCAAACGTGTTTGCTTATTTTTTTCTTTAAGCAATGGCTTTTTTCTGGCCTCTCTTCCGTAAAGCCCAGCTCTGTGGAGTGTATGGCTTAAAGTGGTCCTATGGACAGATACTCCAATCTCCGCTGTGGAGCTTTGCAGCTCCTTCAGGGTTATCTTTGGTTTCTTTGTTGCCTCTCTGATTAAATGCCCTCCTTGCCTGGTCCGTGAGTTTTGGTGGGCGGCCCTCTCTTGGCAGGTTTGTTGTGGTGCCATATTATTAAATATTAATTTTTTTATAATGGATTGAATGGTGCTCTGTGGGATGTTCAAAGTTTCTGATATTTTTTTATAACCCAAACCTGATCTGTACTTCTCCACAACTTTGTCCCTGACCTGTTTGGAGAGCTCCTTGGTCTTCATGGTGCCGCTTGCTTGGTGGTGCCCCTTGCTTAGTGGTGTTGCAGACTCTGGAGCCTTTCAGAACAGGTGTATATATACTGAGATCATGTGGCAGATCATGTGACACTTAGATTGCACACAGGTGGACTTTATTTAACTAATTATGTGACTTCTGAAGGTAATTGGTTGCACCAGATCTTATTTAGGGGCTTCATAGCAAAGGGGGTGAATACATATGCCCGCACCAATTTTCAGTTATTTATTTGTTCTTTTTTAAATTTCACTTCACCAATTTGGACTATTTTGTGTATGTCCATTACATGAAATCCAAATAAAAATCCATTTAAATTACAGGTTGTAATGCAACAAAATAGGAAAAACGCCAAGGGGGATTAATACATTTGCAAGGCACTGTATATCCATGCATAGGGTTGTCCTTGTGCTAGTGGTACAGACAGACAATAGGGAGAGAGAAAGTCATGTATCTGCCGTTTAAACGTCTTTATAAAGCCTATCTGCATTAACACAGTTTATACCATGGCATTGTTGAATACTTGTTTCTGTTTGGCTTGAAGAGCATTCTAGAACGTGCATTATTTCCCTATAATGCACAGTATATCAGCACTGTAGAATTCAATGGCTATTGTTCATTCTTACATGTTCTACTGAGATACTTTTGAAAGCAAAAGTCGAATTGGATGGCAATTTATGAGAATTCAGTGTGGAAAAATGCCACTTTTTAATTGCCCTACTGTAAAACAGTAGGCTACGGTATCGGACCCAAAAACCATATCGGTAGGGCTCTAATGCATAGTTTCATTGGGTTTACGTAAAGGCGCTAGACCTGCATAGCTAAATAAATAGGCTATCAACATCCTAAAACTACTGTCAACATAGAAACAGAGAATGAATGACAGGCTAATCTCCCTGTTTCTAGCCAAGACCTTAGGGGAGAACACCTTGCAGGGTGATAACAACATGAGTCACTGGAATGAAGCAGGACTGGATTATCAGCCGGCTAGGAGCAGGCTTGGTAATGTTTTCCTTCTCACGTGTTGTCATATTGCGCAACAATAGTGATGACAATGACACTGCATCTTTATTAAAACCCCTATGTGAACCAGGTGGATGACGCTGTCTATCCCAACGTCATGAGGGGATTTAAATGCCTAATGTTGGACAGAAATGTTTCGGGTTTACTCACAGGGACTTGATTACTGGATAGTGCTGGCATCGGTAAGGAGACGGTATGCCTCAATCCTGATCGTGGGGGACCCCCTGAGACCGCAGGCTTTTGTTCCAGCCCAGCAATGTAGCCTACTCCTGATTCAAATGATCAAGGGCGTAGGCCTAGTGATTGGTTAGTGTTGGGCTGGAACAAAAGTTATGCAAACCATGTGGCCGGACCAGGATAGAAGAACAGTGACAGACCACAGCTTGTATAGAGCACAAACCTTTCTAAGGTGATCCTTAGCCCTGGTGACTTCATCCTGCATGGTTTTCCTCTTAAACTCCTGCATGTTCTCAAAGTACTCCTCCACATCTCGCTCGTCCTGCGGGAAAAGCGAGTCCAGCACTATCTTCCTGCCACAGATATCTATCGCAGTGCTGAAGTACTTCTCCAGCTGACGGCAAGGTGTATCCAGATCTCTCTCTTGGTCATCTTGGTTGGACTTCCGATTGCTGCTGAGAAAGATCATGTCCCAAATGTTACCCTCCTTGAAATCTGACAGGTCGGGGAAATAGGGTGCGACGACATCCCCGACCCCTGTAAACTGACGGTGGACATTTTCTAAATCGTTAACAGAGAAGAGTCCGGCCCAGCTGGTTTCGGTTTCGCAGACAGCAAGCTGGTCTTTGCGCTTCTGTCGTTGGAGAGTTCTGTTGTGACAGGTGACAGCGAACTTGGACTCGATAACATTCCACTGCACGATAAAACCGAGCTTGAACGTCTCGCTTTCTTCGAATATGTTAGTTTTGATGGCGACCCAGCCGTCCAAGCTGTCCAAACGCTCGCAGTCTATGCTATTCATTTTGTAGTAAACATGTAGCTAGCTAGCTAGCTAAAACTTGTATTCCTCTGCCTTGTTTACAGCGTCCGCCATTTGTAATAATGACGTAGTGTTTCCTGTGGGGTTCTCTTTATCTTCAACTTTGACCTTTCGATCACATGCTCAGGGGGAATTCCACAGCTATTTTGATTCGCTACAATGTATTAAGGATTTATGCCAAGATATTTTAATATTTGCTACAATGTGTCGCCTTCAAGAAAATAATTACTACATTCACAATTAAATACTCTTGGATTAAATACAATATCACTACTCTATTAGGCGACGCAGGGCAGATTTTGGCAGTATGTCAAAATACCCACGCTGACACTTGATCTGTGTGCATAACAGTTGGGGTTCCTGCTATATTTGTCACAAGCTGTGTTTGCTTCCTTGGTTAGCCTGTCAAAAACACTGTCAATGGTCGCCCTGAATCGACGTTGCTGGGGGAGTTATTGAATAATTTATCACCAAGGTAAACTTAACCAGTGTTATAATAAGTAATATGTCTAGTCATAATTATAGCAAATAAATGGGAAACTCCAGCATAGTTTAAATGGTGTGTTGAGTTTATGTGTATAGCATGCCTGATCCATGTTTTGACAGATGTCCAGGATGTTAGAGAAGCACAGCTTCTTTAACTGTCGTTTCATCATCACTGTGTACAGTCCTTTCTGATTCTGAAGTGTTTTTCTGAACATTCTGACTATGAATCATACTTGTTTTGATTGCAAATAATGAACTCCCTGCATGGTTTCTATAAGTTAACTAATTGAAGATGTATACTTATTTTTAAAGCTACATAAAGCATGTCATCATATTTACACAAGTGATTGACTGGTTGGTTAGTGTTGGGTAAATAGAACATCAAAACATTTTTACAATACCTACTTCCAGTGGGATCCTGGTCCTTAGTGGAAAAATATTCATCTTAGATTTAGTGTTTTATTGTGCAGTCCACACAGTACCTCCAGACCTGTCCCCTCCACCCTCTCCACCCCTCTCCACCCTCCCCATCATGGACCTGTATGAGGTCTTCACAGGAAGCAGGCTGGATGTCATCACCGAGGAGGTGCTGAGTGGAGATGAGGAGCACCAGGAGGAGGTGAATGAGGAGGAGGTGAACAGGGATCTCCCTACCAAAGAGGCCTTCGTCATGGTGTCAGAGAAGGCAGAGACTAGAACCTTCCAGCGTTTCTCCACGGATACAAATGACTCTCTGAGGTCCGTAATACAATACTTGAATGCTTTTGGTCCATTTGCACGGATATTCTTAATTTTTTTGCTGTCACAGTACGCATCCTGACACACAACACAAACATCACAGGCTGGGAGGGGTACTTAGGGGTAATAATAATAATAATATGCCATTTAGCAGATGCTTTTATCCAAAGCGACTTACAGTCATGTGTGCATACATTTTTTACGTATGGGTGGTCCAGAGGATCGAACCCACTACCCTGGCGTTACAAGCGCCATGCTCTACCAATTGAGCAACAGAGGACCAAAGTGCCTCGCTCAAGTGCACAACAGCGGTAGGTAGTGTATGGGATCCTCCGGCTGCCGGCTCACTCCCTGCAGATTTCCCCACAGGCAGCTCAGGGGTTCGAACTGGCCAACCTCTGGTTACTGACTGCCGCTTCTACCTCAAAGTGCTACGCAACCCACCCGTGTGGTATGCACATATCATCTTTGCATACTGTTGCAGTCTTCTGCATCAATTTATTTCGCTGACAAAAGCATATGCTGCAAAAAATTTCCCAACTGGATACACTTTCCATCATCATCAGGTTGAGAGCAATACGTCCACCTCTCACAGCATTCGAATTAGGGCCTCCATACCTCACGCTATGTGGACGCAGTTGTACCACGATCCTAGAACTCAGTTTGAGCGATGATTCCAGTGTATACAGTCGGAGGATAGGTTTGAGGTAGTATTTGTTGTGTGTCGGTAGGTAAGGGTGTTTTTATAGGAGGTAGTGGAAGTGTGTGTGTTGACTGAGGTAGGGGAGGGTGGCTAGTGTTGAGGCTGAGGGATGTGTGTGTGGTTGAGTCGTAGGTTAGGGAGGGTGTGAGTGTTGAGGCGGAGGTAGGGGAGGGTGTGTGTGTGTTGAGTCGGAGGTAGGGGAGGGTGTGTTGTGAGTGTTGAGTCGGAGGTAGGGGAGGGTGTGTGTGTTTGAGTCGGAGGTAGGGGAGGGTGTGTGTGTTGAGTCGGATGGTAGGGGAGGGTGTGAGTGTTGAGTCAGAGGTAGGGGGAGGTGTGTGTGTGTGTGCTTTCCTGCCAACAACAGCAGTTAGCGAGAGCACAAACAGATTTGCACTCAGGCTACCCTTGACCCTCTGTAAGAGTTCATTTCTTCTGTGCCTTCAGAACAAGGTGAACAACATCAGGACTAAGCTGGAGGAGAAGGTGGTGGAGATGGAGAACTTTGCAGGACATCTAGAAGAGATCTTCCTAACTGTGGAGGTACAACAACCACTATTACTGACACAACAACCACAGTACACACACATAACAAAGACACAGCCACAGGTTTATGAAACATGGATCTTGAGCCAACCCCGTGTGGGAGACCCTGATCATCACTTAATGAAATGGTTTCATCTTTTTTCAGGATAATTTTGGTCGTCAGGAGCAGCACCTGGAGCAGCACTACAACGACGTTCTGCAGACGTTGTCCCAGCGTTACGACGAGCGAGCCGCAGCGCTGGGGGAGGAGAAGAAGAGGAGGTTGGAGGCCTTGTACACTCAGCTGCTGGGCTGCGGACGCACCCTGGATGCATCCAAGGACCTGATTGAGACCGCCCAGGAACTGTACCGCACCGAGGACAAACGACTCTTTCTACAGGTCTGTTGTAGTGGGTCGTCCGAATTATTTTTTCAAGATTAAATCATTGAATTGCTAATATAACTTCATAATTTGAAATAACTTGTACGTTTATGATAACTTTGTTTGCTATGAGTTATGTTATACACTCAGTAGTCAGTTTATTAATTTTTTATTTTGCTGGACCCCAGGAAGAGTAGCTGTAATGGGGATCCATAATAAATACAAATACAAATACAAATACCAGGCTCAAATTCGCTTAGATCACTCATTTTGCCCATTCTAACGTTCAATCGAACAGTAACTGAATGCCTCGATGCCTGCTTTAAATAGCAAGCCGCGTGACTCACTGTCTGTAGGAGGGAACCATTTTCGTGAACGGGGTGGTGTACCTAATAAACGGTGTATATTCTGTGGTCTTTGTGATGTTTTAATCTGGCAGTTAAAGGTTTTATGAACCTTAAAATGTTAATGACCACTGGAGGAGTTGACTTTTGATGTTGTGAACTTTCCATTGACAGGCTGTTATGCCCACCATGAAGAGGTGAGGTACTGAAAGGAGACTAACACTACAACAGAACTATACCATACTAAACTATACTAAACTATACTATACTATACTATACTATACTATACCGTAAGGAGACTAACATTGCTAGCCTGAGAGTATAACATAACTAGCCTGGTCCCAGATCCATTTTAGCCTGGTTTTATCTGTTTGTGCTCTTGCCAACGTGCTAGATCCATTTGTGCTATCTTACCATTGTTGCATGACCATGACCACAGGAGTTGGCAAGGCACAAACAGATCTGGCACCAGGCTATAACAGAACAATTATACGTGTCTGTTTATAATGGCATGGTAGTGCAGTGAGTCTGGTTAATAACAGTGTCATCCAGTGATTTGCAGTGAACCGTGTAACAGCCTGATTAGGAGTGTTTCATGAGGATAATATATCTGTTTATGTTTGATGTCATCAACGCTCATTCATTTACATTTTTTACAGTTAAGTCATTTAGCAGACGCTCTTATCCAGAGCGACTTACAGTTAGTGAGTGCATACATTATCATACTGGAGGCCTTGTACAGTCTGTGTTCTGAAACCAAAATAGTTTCCGATCCTAATTAGCCAACTAATTCAACTAATTCAAATTAAGCAGTATAATTAATGTGTTTGATGTTGAAGAGGGTTTGTTGACATAGCTTATGTTTTGACTAGCATGATGGCGCATGATGCTACATCCAATGTTCATTTCAGTGTAGTTTTAGGGAGGCTCTGTTCAGAAGGTTGCGACGTTACAAAACATTTGGATAGAAATCCATTTTGTAGAACAGGTATGCTTTTTCGTTGTGTAGAATTGGACATCGTGTCAGCTCTATTCATTCCATTTCTATATGCAACGTTCTGAACGTTTCATCTCATTGAATACAAGTCTGTTTGCTGACAGGTGTTTGTTTGTCAAATCACAATCAAGGAGTTTGCTGACTTGGGTGTGTTTGTCCAATCAGAATCAAGGTTTTTGCTGATTGATGTTTTGTTTGCCTAATCAGAATTGAGGAGTTTGCGAAGGAGAAGCCTGACCTGACGCTGGTGACCACTCTGGAGTTTGACAGGCCCCTCGCCAACCTGTCAGACGTCAAGACCATGATGGACTCCATCAACATCGTACCAGGTCTGATCAATCAATCAATCAACCCATCCTTCTATCCACCCACCCATCCATCCACCACAGGAGGTTGGTGGCACCTTAATTGGGAGGATGGGCTTGTGGTAATGGCTGGAGCGGAATCAGTGGAATGGTAGCAAATATTTCAAACACGTGGTTTCCATGGTTTCCATTCCATTCTCTCTGTTCCAGCCAATATTATGAGCCGTCCTCCCCTCAGCAGCCTCCACTGCCATCCATCCACCCATCCATCCATCCATCCATCCACCCACCCACCCACCCACCCACCCATCCATCCATCCACCCACCCACCCACCCACCCACACACCCATCCATCCATCCATCCATCCATCCATCCATCCACCCACCCACCCACCCATCCATCCATCCATCCACCCACCCACCCACCCACCCACCCATCCATCCATCCATCAATTTGATTAATAAGTTAGTCCAAGGGCCAGCTATCTAAACTTGTAGTAATCATGGTTGAATTTCCGACCGGGGGGCCCCCATTGATTTTGTTAGTCACTCTCACACAGGTATCATATTAAACACTGCAAACATTTCTCTCCACCCTATGGCAAAATGAGTAGAATTGCATGAAATGTGTTATAAAATTGCTAAATCTTCTCTCCACCCATGGTAAAATGTGTAGATCTGCAACATTCTTGCTTTAAGACTAACACATTTTCTCTACGCCCCATGGCAAAATGTGTAGAATTGCAGGAAATTAACTCTAAAACTTTTCCTCTCCACTGTCAAGAGCGGGGCTGCTAAAATGTTTTGCTCGCAAGGTGGGGGTATGGATGTGGGTACGCAGACCCGCGAGCCACTGCAGGCCCCCGATGAGTTCAGATGTTTTGTGGCCCCCACCCCAATCAAAGTTGCCCATCCCTGATTTAGACCATGAGTATGAGTTTGGAACAGAATAGAGCAGAGCCCCGGAGAAATCATTCCAGACTCCAACCTGTACGTCTATATATATATATATATATATATATATATATATATATATATATATGTGGAGGTTCGCTAGGGGAGTTTGGTTGCTTAGAAACAAACGACTTCGATGCAAAGTGATTTCATTTCTCGGAGTATTTAATTACATAGGGCCACTGGAGTGACGAGTCAGGAACTTTTGAGTGATGCTTTCATTCTGCTAAAGTTTGACTGAGTCAATGGCTGTGTCCCAAATGTCACCCTATTCCCTATGTAGTGCACTGCTATACACTACGTTGGACCAGAGCCTATTTGTCAAAAGCAGTGCACTACATAGGGAATAGGGTGCCATTTGGAACACAGACAATCTCCATACTGCTTCTGTCGCTAATGATTGTAGAGGTTGGCTGTGATGTCAGTCTGTTATGCTGTGACGTCAGTCTGTTAAGAAGATTATGGCTGTGACGTCAGTTGTCTGAAGAGAGATTATGGTGATATCAGTCGTCTGAAGAGTATGGCTGTGACGTCAGTCTGTCTGAAGAGAGATATGGCTGTAGTGGAGGATTTGGGCAGTGTTGAAGAGAGTTATGGCTGTGATTCGTCTGTTCTGAAGAGAGATTATGGCTGTGACGTCAGTCTGTCTGAGAGAGATTAGGCGTGATTCAGTCGTCTGAAAGATGGCTGTGAAGTCAGTCTGTCTGAAGAGAGATTATGCTGTGACGTCAGTCTGTCTGAAGAGAGAAGTTATGGCTGTGATATCAGTCTGTCTGAAGAAGATTAGTCTTTGAGGTGTGTCGTATCAGTGTCGAAGAAGATTATTCGTAGTCAGTCTGTTGAGAGAAGAGAGATTATGCTGTGATTTCAGTCTGTCTGAAGAGAGATTATGGCCTTGTGACGTCCGTCTGTCTGAAGAGATGAAGATTTATGGCTGTGAGTACCAGTCTGTCTGAAGAGAGATTATGCTGGTGACGTCAGGTCTGTATGAAGATAGATTATGTCTGTGATGTCAGTCTGTCTGAAGAGAGATATGCTGTGATGTCAGTCTGTCTGAAGATTAGATTTGTGTGTGATGTCAGTTGTCTGATATAGATATGGCTGTGATGTCGTCTGTCTGAAGATAGATTATGGCTGTGATGTTCAGTTGTCTGAAGATAGATTATGTTCTGTGATGTCAGTCTGTCTGAAAAGAGATTATGGCCTGTGATACAGTCTGTCTGAAGAGAGATTATGGCCTGTGATATTTCCGTCTGGATGAAGAGAGATTATGGCTGTGATTTCAGTCTGTCTGGCTGAAGAGAGATTATGGCATGTGATATCAGTCGGTCTGAAGAGGGATTATGGCTGTGATTATCAGTGTGTCTGAAGAGAGATTATGGCTGTGATTATCAGTCTGTCTGAAGAGATATTATGTCTGTGATGTCAGTCTGTCTGAAGAGAGATTATGTATGTGATGTCAGTCTGTCTGAAGAGAGATTATGTCTGTGATGTCAGTCTGTCTGAAGATAGATTATGGCTGTAATGTCAGTCTGTCTGAAGATAGATTATGGCTGTAATGTCAGTCTGTCTGAAGAGAGATTATGGCTGTGATGTCAGTCTGTCTGAAGAGAGATTATGTCTGTGATGTCAGTCTGTCTGAAAATAGATTATGGCTGTAATGTCAGTCTGTCTGAAGATAGATTATGTCTGTGATGTCAGTCTGTCTGAAGATAGATTATGTCTGTGATGTCAGTCTGTCTGAAGAGAGATTATGTCTGTGATGTCAGTCTGTCTGAAGATAGATTATGTCTGTGATGTCAGTCTGTCTGAAGATAGATTATGTCTGTGATGTCAGTCTGTCTGAAGAGAGATAATGGCTGTGATGTCAGTAGATACTGAGTTGTAGAACGATGCTGGTTGTGTAACGTCTGCCTGACTGACTGAATGTAGAGTCTGCATCCCAAATGGTCGTCACAGACAGACTCTAGTCTGTCTCAAATGACACCCTATCCCTATATAGTGCACTACCTTTGACCAGGGCCCGTAGGGATCTAGTCCAAAGTACTGCACTACAGGGAATAGGGTGTCATTTGGGATGCAGACTCTACATTCAGTCAGTCAGGCAGCTGTGATTCACTTGGTGACTCACCTCAGACAGCTTTGTTTGGTTTCTCAGAATCTCTGATTCCACAGAAGGGGACACACTTGAGAGAAGTAAAAAAAAATATATATATATAAATTGGAATAAAATGGTCTTAATAATGTCCTTTGTGTTTAAAATTGGCTGTAGGGAGAGCGCAGTGTGAAAATCAATAACTCATCAATGAAATCGAGACGTAGTATTATGTTGTCACAGTCACTTAGAAAAAGTGGCAAGACCATGAAACAAACCTCTGTGGAGATTCTTTTTCAAGTAATGATGATGATGATGCAGCATTGTGGCGATCCTCTGAGTGTTACAAGCCACGTTACAATTCCCACTAAATGGGTTAACCCTATCGGTGCGACGCGTAGGTTTTTTTTGCCTTTCACTCCAGCGACCCGGGTTCGATTCCCTGTCCCGCCATTCGCTACAGTATGTATGGGGCGGCAGGTAGCTTAGTGGTTAAGAGCGTTGTGCCAGTAACCGAAAGGTCGCTGGTTCTAATCCCCGAGCTGACTAGGTGAAAAAATCTGTCGATGTGCCCTTGAGCAAGGCACTTAACCCTAATTGCTCCTGTAAGTCGCTCTGGATAAGAGCGTCTGCTAAATGACTAAAATGTACAAATGTAAATGTAAAAATAAAACATCAATGCAGTACAACCTAATTCACATAAAGGTGTTCCTCTCTCCTTGTGATGTCACCATCATGGTTATGGTTTTCATCTTGATGTGATATCATGTGATTGTAATGTGATGTGATATCATGTGATTGTAATGTGATGTGATATCATGTGATTGTAATGTGATGTGATATCATGTGATTGTGATGTGATTGTAATGTGATTCCAGCCCCATCTGCCCCGGTCATCAACCCCCAGGTGTCTAACTCGGCCACGCCGACTTCTCTGCGTGTGTGTTGGAGCCTGTTCTCAGACGACTCTGTGGAGTACTATGAGCTCTACTACAGACCTGTCCTGGAGGACACACCGGCTGCAGACAGCACCAAGGGACCTGACGGTAGCAACTAGTACAACCAGAACCAGTAGAACATAGAATCAGAACATAGAATCAGGACAGAGAATCAGAACATAAAATCAGGACATAGAATCAGAACATAGAATCAGAACATAGAATCAGGACATAGAATCTGAACATAGAATCAGGACATAGAATCAGAACATAAAATCTGAACATAAAATCAGGACATAGAATCAGAACAAAAGACCAGAACATAGAATCAGGACACGGAATCAGAACATAGAACCAGAACATAGAATCTGAACATAGAATCTGAAAATAGAATCAGTATTCAGAACCTGTAAAACATAGAATCAGATCATAGAATCAGAACATAGAATCAGAACATAACATAGACAGACATTCCAGTTCAATGTTTCATGACATTATGGACCAACATGGAGACAATATATTGGGTGTACTATTTGGAATGTTCAATCTCTCTCTGAGGGGATTAATTGAATCGAATCGAATCAACTCTTCCCCTATGAGGGAGTTTATGGTTACTTTACTTAAAACCAACAGGTATAACGCTTTAATAATGCTTTATAATGCATTGCTATAATGTTCTAAATGATTTAACTGAGTTGTCTCTCCTCCTCAGTGTCTAATGTGAAGGTGAAGGAAACCCACTGTAGTGTAGGAGAGCTGCTGCCTAACACGCAGTATGAGTTGTGGGTCACAGCTACCAACACCACAGGCATCAGCCCTGCCAGTGAGAAGGCTGTCTACATGACAGGTGAAACCATGGACCTGTTACAGGGAACACTAGATGGCTTGTAACACCACTTTCAAACTGACAAACATGAACCAACCCAGTGTTTTTCAATAGGAATGTGTCAGAGGAAAGCACAACTGAATGGGTTGCACTATTTTAATGTTGTGCTCTCTCTCTCTCTCTCTCTCTCTCTCTCTCTCTCTCTCTCTCTCTCTCTCTCTCTCTCTCTCTCTCTCTCTCTCTCTCTAACCCCCACGTATCTCCCTCTGTCTCTCTCCCTCCTCTCCTCCCCCTCCAGTCCCCTCTCCACCATTCATCAGACAGAGGGAGTGCAGCAGTTGTCCGGAAGCCGCTCTGATTCGCTGGGAGTCAAGAAACACCAACCCAGTGGACTCCTACACCGTAGAGCTGATTGAGACAGGCACTGATGGACAGAGTGGGGTCACTGAGTAAGAAACAGACACATGCACTTGCACACCCCCACACACGCACATACGCCTGCAAGCACACACACACATAAACACACACACATAAACACACACACACATAAACACACACACATGAACACACACACATAAACACACACACATAAACACACACACATAAACACACACACATAAACACACACACATAAACACACACACAAAAACACACACACATAAACACACACACATAAACACACACACACATGAACACACACACATAAACACACACACACACACATGAACACACACACACACATAAACACACACACATAAACACACACACACATAAACACACACACACAAAAACACACACACATAAACACACACACATAAACACACACACACTAACTCATTAATCCTGAAGCAACATAAAAGAAACTAATCCACTTCACTAATAACTAAACATGAAAAAGTTGACTTGTAACTTTCCTGATCTAATTGAGTTCTCCTGAAGGTCTGTAATTTGTGATTGAGTTTCTCCCTCCCATGGTCTATGTAATGTGATTGGTTCTCCTGCAGGTCTGTAATGTGATGGTTTTCCTGGTCTTAATGTGATTGGTTCTCCCTGCAGGTCTGTAATGTGATTGGTTCTCCATGCAGGTCTGTAATGTGATTGGTTCTCCCTCCTGGTCTATAATGTGATTGGTTCTCCCTCCTGGTCTATAATGTGATTGGTTCTCCCTGCAGGTCTGTAATGTGATTGGTTCTCCCTGCAGGTCTGTAATGTGATTGGTTCTCCCTGCAGGTCTGTAATGTGATTGGTTCTCCCTGCAGGTCCATCGTGGCTGTTCCTACCTGTGAGAGTCTGATTCAGCTGCAGTCAGGAAGACAGTACCTCATCTACGTCAGAGCTGTCAACATCGGAGGACCCAGTGAAAGGAGCGAGGCTTTTACCGTCTCTACAACAGGTGACAGGAGAGACCCCATGTACTGAAGCTGTAGCATGTATAGTTGTCAAATATTATTCTGTCTCTTAGCACATGTATAGTTGTCAAGACCAGTGAGGTTGTTACTGTGTTTTATAGTTGTCAAGACCAGTGAGGTTGTTACTGTGTTGTATAGTTGTCAAGACCAGTGAGGTTGTTACTGTGTTTTATAGTTGTCAAGACCAGTGAGGTTGTTACTGTGTTGTATAGTTGTCAAGACCAGTGAGGTTGTTACTGTGTTTTATAGTTGTCAAGACCAGTGAGGTTGTTACTGTGTTTTATAGTTGTCAAGACCAGACAGTGAGGTTGTTAGTGTGTTTTATAGTTGTCAAGACCAGACAGTGAGGTTGTTACTGTGTTTTATAGTTGTCAAGACCAGACAGTGAGGTTGTTACTGTGTTTTATAGTTGTCAAGACCAGACAGTGAGGTTGCTACTGTGTTTTATAGTTGTCAAGACCAGACAGTGAGGTTGTTACTGTGTTTTATAGTTGTCAAGACCAGTGAGGTTGTTACTGTGTTTTATAGTTGTCAAGACCAGACAGTGAGGCTGTTACTGTGTTTTATAGTTGTCAAGACCAGTGAGGTTGTTACTGTGTTTTATAGTTGTCAAGACCAGACAGTGAGGTTGCTACTGTGTTTTATAGTTGTCAAGACCAGACAGTGAGGTTGTTACTGTGTTTTATAGTTGTCAAGACCAGTGAGGTTGTTACTGTGTTTTATAGTTGTCAAGACCAGACAGTGAGGTTGTTAGTGTGTTTTATAGTTGGCAAGACCAGACAGTGTGGTTGTTACTGTGTTTTATAGTTGTCAAGACCAGACAGTGAGGTTGTTACTGTGTTTTATAGTTGTCAAGACCAGACAGTGAGGTTGTTACTGTGTTTTATAGTTGTCAAGACCAGACAGTGAGGTTGTTACTGTGTTTTATAGTTGTCAAGACCAGACAGTGTGGTTGTTACTGTGTTTTATAGTTGTCAAGACCAGACAGTGAGGTTGTTACTGTGTTTTATAGTTGTCAAGACCAGACAGTGAGGTTGTTAGTGTGTTTTATAGTTGTCAAGACCAGACAGTGAGGTTGTTACTGTGTTTTATAGTTGTCAAGACCAGACAGTGAGGCTGTTACTGTGTTTTATAGTTGTCAAGACCAGACAGTGAGGTTGTTACTGTGTTTTATAGTTGTCAAGACCAGACAGTGAGGTTGTTACTGTGTTTTATAGTTGTCAAGACCAGACAGTGAGGTTGCTACTGTGTTTTATAGTTGTCAAGACCAGACAGTGAGGTTGTTACTGTGTTTTATAGTTGTCAAGACCAGACAGTGAGGTTGTTACTGTGTTTTATAGTTGTCAAGACCAGACAGTGAGGTTGCTACTGTGTTTTATAGTTGTCAAGACCAGACAGTGAGGTTGCTACTGTGTTTTATAGTTGTCAAGACCAGTGAGGTTGTTACTGTGTTTTATAGTTGTCAAGACCAGACAGTGAGGTTGTTACTGTGTTTTATAGTTGTCAAGACCAGACAGTGAGGTTGTTACTGTGTTTTATAGTTGTCAAGACCAGACAGTGAGGTTGTTACTGTGTTTTATAGTTGTCAAGACCAGACAGTGAGGTTGCTACTGTGTTTTATAGTTGTCAAGACCAGTGAGGTTGTTACTGTGTTTTATAGTTGTCAAGACCAGACAGTGAGGTTGTTACTGTGTTTTATAGTTGTCAAGACCAGTGAGGTTGTTACTGTGTTTTATAGTTGTCAAGACCAGACAGTGAGGTTGTTACTGTGTTTTATAGTTGTCAAGACCAGACAGTGTGGTTGTTAGTGTGTTTTATAGTTGTCAAGACCAGACAGTGAGGTTGTTAGTGTGTCTTATAGTTGTCAAGACCAGACAGTGAGGTTGTTACTGTGTTTTATAGTTGTCAAGACCAGACAGTGAGGTTGTTAGTGTGTTTTATAGTTGTCAAGACCAGACAGTGAGGTTGTTACTGTGTTTTATAGTTGTCAAGACCAGACAGTGAGGTTGTTACTGTGTTTTATAGTTGTCAAGACCAGACAGTGAGGTTGTTACTGTGTTTTATAGTTGGCAAGACCAGACAGTGAGGCTGTTACTGTGTTTTATAGTTGTCAAGACCAGACAGTGAGGTTGTTACTGTGTTTTATAGTTGTCAAGACCAGTGAAGTTGTTACTGTGTTTTATAGTTGTCAAGACCAGACAGTGAGGTTGTTACTGTGTTTTATAGTTGTCAAGACCAGTGAAGTTGTTACTGTGTTTTATAGTTGTCAAGACCAGACAGTGAGGTTGTTACTGTGTTTATAGTTGTCAAGACCAGACAGTGAGGGTTGCTACTGTGTTTTATAGTTGTCAAGACCAGACAGTGAGGTTGTTACTGTGTTTTATAGTTGTCAAGACCAGACAGTGAGGTTGTTAGTGTGTTTTATAGTTGTCAAGACCAGACAGTGAGGTTGTTACTGTGTTTTATAGTTGTCAAGACCAGACAGTGAGGTTGTTACTGTGTTTTATAGTTGTCAAGACCAGACAGTGAGGTTGCTACTGTGTTTTATAGTTGTCAAGACCAGACAGTGAGGTTGTTACTGTGTTTTATAGTTGTCAAGACCAGACAGTGAGGTTGTTACTGTGTTTTATAGTTGTCAAGACCAGTGAGGTTGTTACTGTGTTTTATAGTTGTCAAGACCAGACAGTGAGGTTGTTACTGTGTTTTATAGTTGTCAAGACCAGACAGTGAGGTTGTTACTGTGTTTTATAGTTGCAAGACCCAGACAGTGAGGTTGTTACTGTGTTTTATAGTTGTCAAGACCAGACAGGAGGCTGTTACTGTGTTTTATAGTTGTCAAGACCAGACAGGAGGTTGTAGTGTGTTTTATAGTTGTCAAGACCAGACAGTGAGGTTGGTTAGTGTGTTTTATAGTGTCAAGACCAGGACAGTGAGGTTGTTACTGTGTTTTTATAGTTGTCAAGACCAGACAGTGAGGTTTGTTACTGTGTTTTATAGTTGTCAAGACCAGGATACCAGTGGAGTTTTTAGTTCAACCACAGTGTTTTGTTTTATAGTTGTCAAGACCAGACAGTGAGGTTGTTACTGTGTTTTATAGTTGTCAAGACCAGACAGTGAGGCTTGTTACTGTGTTTTATAGTTGTCAAGACCAGACAGTGAGGTTGCTACTGTGTTTTATAGTTGTCAAGACCAGACAGTGAGGTTGTTACTGTGTTTTATAGTTGTCAAGACCAGTGAGGTTGTTACTGTGTTTTATAGTTGTCAAGACCAGACAGTGAGGTTGTTAGTGTGTTTTATAGTTGTCAAGACCAGACAGTGAGGTTGTTACTGTGTTTTATAGTTGTCAAGACCAGACAGTGAGGTTGTTACTGTGTTTTATAGTTGTCAAGACCAGACAGTGAGGTTGTTACTGTGTTTTATAGTTGTCAAGACCAGACAGTGAGGTTGTTACTGTGTTTTATAGTTGTCAAGACCAGACAGTGAGGTTGTTACTGTGTTTTATAGTTGTCAAGACCAGACAGTGAGGTTGTTACTGTGTTTTATAGTTGTCAAGACCAGACAGTGAGGTTGTTACTGTGTTTTATAGTTGTCAAGACCAGACAGTGAGGTTGTTACTGTGTTTTATAGTTGTCAAGACCAGACAGTGAGGTTGTTACTGTGTTTTATAGTTGTCAAGACCAGACAGTGAGGTTGTTACTGTGTTTTATAGTTGTCAAGACCAGACAGTGAGGTTGTTACTGTGTTTTATAGTTGTCAAGACCAGTGAGGTTGTTACTGTGTTTTATAGTTGTCAAGACCAGACAGTGAGGTTGTTACTGTGTTTTATAGTTGTCAAGACCAGACAGTGAGGTTGTTACTGTGTTTTATAGTTGTCAAGACCAGACAGTGAGGTTGTTACTGTGTTTTATAGTTGGCAAGACCAGTGAGGCTGTTACTGTGTTTTATAGTTGTCAAGACCAGACAGTGAGGTTGTTAGTGTGTTTTATAGTTGTCAAGACCAGACAGTGAGGTTGTTACTGTGTTTTATAGTTGTCAAGACCAGACAGTGAGGTTGTTACTGTGTTTTATAGTTGGCAAGACCAGACAGTGTGGTTGTTACTGTGTTTTATAGTTGTCAAGACCAGACAGTGAGGTTGCTACTGTGTTTTATAGTTGTCAAGACCAGTGAGGTGTTACTGTGTTTTATAGTTGTCAAGACCAGACAGTGAGGTTGTTACTGTGTTTTATAGTTGTCAAGACCAACAGTGAGGCTGTTACTGTGTTTTATAGTTGTCAAGACCAGACAGTGAGGTTGTTAGTGTGTTTTATAGTTGTCAAGACCAGACAGTGAGGTTGTTACTGTGTTTTATAGTTGTCAAGACCAGACAGTGAGGTTGCTACTGTGTTTTATAGTTGTCAAGACCAGACAGTGAGGTTGTTACTGTGTTTTATAGTTGTCAAGACCAGACAGTGAGGTTGCTACTGTGTTTTATAGTTGTCAAGACCAGACAGTGAGGTTGCTACTGTGTTTTATAGTTGTCAAGACCAGACAGTGAGGTTGTTACTGTGTTTTATAGTTGTCAAGACCAGACAGTGAGGTTGTTACTGTGTTTTATAGTTGTCAAGACCAGACAGTGAGGTTGTTACTGTGTTTTATAGTTGTCAAGACCAGACAGTGAGGTTGTTACTGTGTTTTATAGTTGTCAAGATCAGACAGTGAGGCTGTTACTGTGTTTTATAGTTGTCAAGACCAGACAGTGAGGTTGTTAGTGTGTTTTATAGTTGTCAAGACCAGACAGTGAGGTTGTTACTGTGTTTTATAGTTGTCAAGACCAGACAGTGTGGTTGTTACTGTGTTTTATAGTTGTCAAGACCAGACAGTGAGGTTGTTACTGTGTTTTATAGTTGTCAAGACCAGACAGTGAGGTTGTTACTGTGTTTTATAGTTGTCAAGACCAGACAGTGAGGTTGTTACTGTGTTTTATAGTTGGCAAGACCAGACAGTGAGGTTGTTACTGTGTTTTATAGTTGTCAAGACCAGACAGTGACGTTGTTACTGTGTTTTATAGTTGTCAAGACCAGACAGTGAGGCTGTTACTGTGTGTGTGCAGGAACCATCTTCCACCTGCAGCAGGACACAGCCCACCCCTGTCTGTCCATCTCTGAGGACGGCTTCTCCATGTTCTACGGAGATGAGGAGCTCCCGCTCTCCGCCATGACCTTCGACGACAACACCTTCGCCAGGTAGACAAACCAACCAGGCGGTTTACACCTGCTGTACAGCTAATGGAGATCTGCTAATGACGTGGATATTTACTGGATACATTTGTGTAATAACAATAGCTTTCTTTTATATAGCATCTTTCAAAATTTAAACATCTGAAAATGTGAGTGTACTCATCCCATGATAGTGTGGTGTGTGTGTAGGTGTGTGTAGTGTGTATGTTCTCCTCACTCTGATATTGTGTATATTGTGTGTGTGTGTGTGTGTGTTTGGTCCAGGTGTGTAGCTGTGTTAGGGGACCTGATCCCTGTGCGAGGCAGACATTACTGGGAGGTGGAGGTGGAGGAGGACACAGAGTACAGGATTGGAGTGGCCTATGAAGATACTCAGAGAAACTCCTACCTGGGAGGAACAAACACGTCCTGGTGCATGAGACATGTCCTCACTCCCTCCAGGTGAGAATCCCCTAACCCTAGCTTAATGTCCACATCCCTGTTCAACCCTAACCTCAACCCGTCCAGGGGAGAATCCCTAACGCTAACCTAGCTATCACTAACTGTTACCTGGAAGGAAACAACATGTCCCCCCTCCCTCCCTCCAGGTAACGCTAACCTAACCCCTTACCCTCTAACCTAGCTATCACTAACTGTTACCTGGAAGGAAACAACATGTCCTCCCTTCCTCCCTCCAGGTAACGCTAACCTAACCCCTAACCCAGCTATCACTAACTGTTACCTGGAAGGAAACAACATGTCCTCCCTTCCTTCCTCCAGGTAACGCTAACCTAACCCCTAACCCTCTAACCTAGCTATCACTAACTGTTAGCTGGAAGGAAACAACATGTCCTCCCTTCCTCCCTCCAGGTAACAGACTGCTGTGATAGGTTACACAAGTGTTTCTCAACCCCCCCACACAATCACATCTAAATAACCTAATGGAGGTCCAGAGAAGCAGTTGATAGTTGAATCCAGTGTGTGAGTGCTGGTTTGGAAGTCTTGCCCTGCACAGACTGAGGCCTCCTACACACTACAATCACAACAAGGAAAAGGGAACATTTAGAAAGTCCTCAAACAGGACCTGTCAGCCTACTACTGGGCAGACAGAGTTGGTAAACACTGTTCTAGAGGGCCGACTCCTGGCCTTGCTTTAAATTCAGCTGACACACCACTACCACTGCATGGCTTCCCAGAGGGAAATGGATGCTCGATCTTCCCAGAGGGTCCACCACTACCACACACTGTCTGAAAAGTAGGCCAGCCAAGGAGATTTTTGCTCATTAAAATAGCTCTCCCCTTCCTAAAGCGCTTGGCTTGCTTCTTCTCACATTTCGCCTCCTAAACCTTTTCTGAGGCAGAAGTGACAAGTCAAGTTTTTTTTATTTTATTCCTGTGAAAAAAGCCCATGGAATACCATTCACCTTATAGCGGCTGTTGCCATAGCAACTATGCTAATCCTGGCACTAAACAGGACAGTGGAACTGTCACTTTACTAGGAGATCATTCACTGAGACATCTCAACATGAAACACCACCACCTCAGAGAGAGAGAGAGAGAGAGAGAGAATACCCACTGCCTACGCAGAACCTGACAATACACACTTCTCATATCCCCTGCTAATCCTCTCTTTGGCAGTGACAGGTTTATTTTTTTGGGGGCACAGTGTTTGGTTGAGTATCTACGTACTGTATCCCCATGGCACTGTTAGTTTAAGCTACTGGTGCGACGCCATTTTGGATTTGATTCCTGCATCAAGGGCCTCATATACTGTAACACTAAGGTCCGGTTTCATAAGGTTGATCTGGGACCAGGAAAAACCTAAGGTTTCGTTTCCCTGACAGAGATTAAGACTAGTCCTGGACTAAAAAGGTTATTTCAAGGGAGATTCTCAATTGATAATGACGTTTTGTCCAGGACTAGTCTAATCTGTGTCCGGGAAACCGTCCCGAAGTCTTTTAACTGTATGTCACTTTAAAGCGTCTGCTAAAAATGATTGTATTTACATTTACATTTGTCATTTAGCAGACGCTCTTATCCAGAGCGACTTACAAATTGGTGCATTCAACTTAGGATAGCCAGTGGGACAACCACCACTGGAGGAGGGGGGGTGTAGAAGGATTACTTATATTATCCCAACACAGACATACCACGTCTGTAGGCTACATATTATGAATTAGTTAAGTTTAAGTCACAATAGATGGAATGTGCTTAATGACATCAGTCTCCCCCTTCCTCCCCTCCCCTCCATTCCATTCCATCTCCATCTAGACGCAAGTACGACTTCCTGACACATTCTTCTCCTTCAATATCATGTGCACTCAGTGGCCAGTTTATTAGGTACCACCCATCTAGTACCGGGTCAGACCCTTTGCCTCCAGAACAGCCTGAATTCTTCGGGGCATGGCATTCAATCGTTGCTCAATTGGTATCAAGGGACCTAATGTGTGCCAGGAAAACATTCCCCACACCATTACACCACCAGCCTGCACCGTTGACACCAGGCAGGATGGGTCCATGGACTCATGCTGCTTACGCCAAATCCTGACTCTGCCATCAGCATGATGCAACAGGAACTGGGATTCGTCGGACCAGGCAATGTTTTTCCACTCCTCTATTGTCCAGTGTTGGTGATGGCATGCCCACTGGAGCCGCTGCTTCTTGTTTTTAGCTGATGAGAGTGAAACCCGGTGTGGTCGTCTGCTGCAAAAGCCCATCCATGACAAGGATCGACGAGTTGTGTGTTCCAAAATGCCGTTCTGCACACCACTGTTGTGCTGCGCCGTTATTTGTCTGTTTGTGGCCCTCCTGTTAGCTGGCACAATTCTTGCCATTCTCCTTCGACCTCTCATCAACAAGCTGTTTTTTTTGTTGTTGCACCATTCTGGGTAAACGCTACACGTGCGTGTAAAGCCCAGGAGGCCTGCTGTTTCTGAGGTACTGGATCTGGCGTGCCTGGGAACCGACGATCATGCCACGCTTAAAGTCGCATAGGTCACTCGTTTTGCCCATTCTAACGTTCAATGGAACAGTAACTGAATGCCTTCGGCGCCTGCTTTATTATAGCAAGCCACGGCCACGTGACTCACTGTCTGTAGGAGCGATCCATTTTCATGAACGGGGTGGTGCACCTAATAAACTGTTTATATAGAAGGATATGATGTGTAACAAGTCACATAGAACCATCATTTTCTAAATTACATCATTACTTCCATTCTGTTTTCCCCTCCATTCTGTCTCCCCTCCCTCCTCCATTTTGTCTCCCCTCCCTCTAGACACAAGTACGAGTTCCTCCACAGCGGCTGGAGCCCAGACATCCGGATAACGGTGAACCCAGTGAGGATAGGGCTCAGTCTGAACTATGAGAGAGGGATCCTGTCCTTCTTCAACGTAGACCTGGAACAACACCTCCACTCCTTCTACTGTAGCTTCCTACACTACGTTCATCCCTGCTTTGCTCTGGACAACCCCGGGGCGCTCACTGTTCGCAATGGGGTAGCGGCACCGGAGTACGTCCACTTGGTCTGAGCTTACCTACCATGATGCACATTAAACACAAGTATACAGAATACAGGTGTATTGTCCATGGAAAGGTCTTTCTGTTGTATGTTTTTTTAATTTCAACCCTCTGAAAAACACTGCATGGTAGCGCCAAATTATACCACAAAAACATGATTTTACCCTTTTGTGTAAGTGGGTGAACAACCACATCTGAACAAAAACATTTATTTCAGTGGTTTAGACCAGGGTTTCCCAAACTCGGAGTACCACAACACTGCTAGACTAACATGAGGAAACAAAATGAAGGCTGTTTCCAAATCCATTTATTACAGTATTCCATGGGAACAGATTCACACCATTTTCCATTATATACAACATAATAATCAGTGAATTGGTGTAAAGCAGGTTGAAGAATTCGGTCGTAGCGCAGGCTCGGTCGTAGACGGACAACCACATATGCTTTTTCAGATTTGAAATAAAAAGGACCCTTTCAAATGAAAACTGTCGTGAATCTTTAATATTTATAATAACATAAAGTAGCATTCCTTTGTTTTTGGGGGCAGGGCTGTAGCAGTGCGACGCTCTGTTCGAGGTCCCACAGTACAGCAGTCGATGATGGTAATAACAGCGCTAGCTAGCCTTGGGCTGAACACTGATCACTGCAACCCCAGCATCTAAGTGGAATGAGGACACTTTAGGGTGGGGTTGATGGGATTTGGGAAGGGTAGTGGGATGGGGGGTATGAGTTAGCCGTCTTACTGCTAGGAGTCCTCTCCCTCATCAGAAGAGTCCCCACCGTAGGGTACTAGGCATGAAGTGTCCATTACCCCACCTCCGTAGGGCACTAAACCTGAAGGTTTCTCCACTACCTTTATCTTCTTCACAATCACCTCCTGGGGAGAATCTGAGGAGAACAAAGACAGACAGACAGACAGACAGAGGGAGAGAGAGACAGAGAGAGAGAGACAGGGACAAAGAGAGAGAGAGAGAGAGAGAGAGAGAGAGAGAGAGAGAGAGAGAGAGAACAGAAAGAGAGCGAGAGAGGGCAAAACAAGAGAGGAGCCCAGCCCATGTTTGAGTTGGTTGGATTGATCCACAGCCAGTCAGAGCAGAGAGATCAGACAGACACCAGATGAGATAGATCCATGTTAGGTAGCAGCGGGTCCAGGAGACATGTGGAGAGAGAACACAAGGGGAAGACAAAGAACACATACAGGGAGTGACAGTTAGCACGGCTCAGCCAATCACAGAGGAGCTCAGACAGGTCTGTCTGCCTCCATTACTCCACTACTGAGGGGAGAAGAAATCGTCGAAAAACACCACTCAACTTCATCATGGTTAAAATGTCTGCCCATTCAGGCATCAAGTACAGTGAAGTATGTTCCCAGTAAGACGCGTACCCTGTGATGCGGGGGTGCTGGTTGGTAGACTGGGTGGGACCACTGGTACTGCCGTCTCTCTGGGTCTCTTGCGTGCCACAGGGCCGGGGGCCAGAAACACAGGGAGAGGAGGTGGCATCAACATCCTACAGACAGAGACAAAGGCACAGGGTGGAGAAACATCAGAGGCTTCATTTTAGGGGCGTGTTCAGTAGGTGCAAAATGTAAGAAAACAACCCAGAACTGTCTGAACGTGTAACTGCCCCCCCGTCCCGTCCCCCCTTGTGACCTTTTGAACACGGTGGCTGCAACATTCTGGGCAAAACAAAACCAGAGATTTAGAGCAGAGAACTATTTAGAAACCTTTCAGCTCCTTGTCCTCGCTCTTCCTCTCTCAGAGCTGCTGAAGGTAGAGGGGGAGACTTCTCTCTCACCGGGGCCTCGGGTGAGCTGCTGGCAGGCTGAGAGATGGACAGACAGGAAGGACTGTTAGCAGAAGGCCACAGAGCACTGTTGGAATTGTTAAAAACAAAAACACACTTTCTGCACTTGCGAGTAAGCACTGAGCTAACATATTTGGGTTGGTGACAGCCTTGATATTGTTTAGCCAGGTTATTCAGTTGACAAGCCGTTCTCTTTAAAAACCTCTCTCGTTGCATATTTCAGCAGTTTCAGCTCCGTCTCACCCGAGAGGCCTGCTCATCCTCAGTCTTTTCCTGGAAGCGTCGTTTAGGACTTCCTGTTCCTGTCCGAGTTGAGCTGGATGACGACAGGTCAGTCTCCGTCTGGTCACTGCACCCAGGGTCCTGAGACACCAAGGTCAAACCCAAACAACAGTTAGTCTAATCCCAGGGTCATCAATACATCTGGTTAGTCCTGCCCTTACAATGGTGTACACCTTCATCAATACATCTGGTTAGTCCTGCCCTTACAATGGTGTACACCTTCATCAATACATCTGGTTAGTCCTGCCCTTACAATGGTGTACAACTTCATCTCCTGGCTAACTAATGAAACTGATACAGACATAGGACTTCAGTTTAGAAACTGATTTTCAGGTGATAAACCTATTTTTTTTGCTTTCTTATGGGTGTCATGGTGTTGTCTGTTCTAAACTACTGTGATCCCTGTCCTGAATCCTATTTGGACAGCCCACCCATGTTCCTGTAACCTTCCCAATCCATACATGTAATAGGTAACGGTATGGTTTCCTAGCCACTACGTACCTGTACTAGGTAACGGTATGGTTTCCTAGCCACTACGTACCTGTACTAGGTAACGGTATGGTTTCCTAGCCACTACGTACCTGTACTAGGTAACGGTATGGTTTCCTAGCCACTACGTACCTGTACTAGGTAACGGTATGGTTTCCTAGCCACTACGTACCTGTACTAGGTAACGGTATGGTTTCCTAGCCACTACGTACCTGTACTAGGTAACGGTATGGTTTCCTAGCCACTACGTACCTGTACTAGGTAACGGTATGGTTTCCTAGCCACTACGTACCTGTACTAGGTAACGGTATGGTTTCCTAGCCACTACGTACCTGTACTAGGTAACGGTATGGTTTCCTAGCCACTACGTACCTGTAATAGGTAACGGTATGGTTTCCTAACCACTACGTACCTGTACTAGGTAACGGTATGGTTTCCTAGCCACTACGTACCTGTAATAGGTATGGGTGTGTCTTCCTGGGACAGACAGGATACTGAACCATAGCCTGAGAAGATGGAGGGTTTGTCGACAGGTTAGATTGACTGGGCTGACCACTAGCAGCACTAGTCCAATAGCCAGCGGGTCCTGGCGGTGTGGGGTAGCTGGTAGAGGCAGCATAGCCCCCAGCCAGCCCCAGCCCGTTACACCCTGGGTAACCACTGCTGCTGCCCCAGCCCTGGCTAGAGTAAGTGCTATTAGCTGGGTATCCATGAGCTGGGTATGCTGAAAGGGAAGTATAGGAGATCAGGGTTAATGGATGTGATTGGAAGAAGGGGTCATTCACAGACAGGGTTGTTGACTGTCTGTTCTGTTTGTTGTTGTGCCACTAGAGACAGAGAGAGATTCATTTATGACAGGAGCTAGTAGTGTCTGTGGTTTAAGCAAACATAGGAATTGATTTACTAGAAGGGAAACATTCAGGCCATTCTATTATATTCAAGTAAATGAGTAGGGCCAGAAGTTTCTCTGTCCACGTAACCTGACCAGGAAAACCCGGGCCTGGCTGGTTATTTACCCTGACCAGGAAAACCCGGGCCTGGCTGGTTATTTACCCTGACCAGGAAAACCCGGGCCTGGCTGGTTTTTTACCCTGACCAGGAAACCGGGCCTGGCTGGTTATTTACCTGACCAGGAAAACCCGGCCTGGCTGGTTATTTACCTGACAGGAAAACCCGGGCTGGTTTAGCAAAATGGTGTATTTACCCTGACCAGGAAAACCCGGGCCTGGCTGGTTATTTACCCTGACCAGGAAAACCCGGGCCTGGCTGGTTATTTAACCTGACCAGGAAAACCCGGGCCTGGCTGGTTATTTACCCTGACCAGGAAAACCCAGGCCTGGCTGGTTATTTCACCTGAACTCCTGGGCCCATATTCATAAAAATGTCTCAGAGTAAGAGTGCTGATCTGGGATCAGGTCCCCCCTTGTCCATTCAAATCCAAAGCTGATCCTAGATCAGCGCTCTTCTCCAAGGTGCTTTATGAATACGGGCCCAGGTCCTATGACTGTGGTATTTGAGTTACTTAGTGTTAGTTCTGGTGTGTGTGAGAGAGAGAGAGGAGACTTACGTTGGGTGGAGCCGGTGGCTGTGTAGATGGAGACCATGCGGGTATGTTCAGCTCTCACCTGTACAACAGACACAGGCGAGAGGGAACAGGATGAGAACACTGAATCCTTACAAAAGGGAGGTTAATCATGTTTAGAGGAAGCAGAGGAAGAAATCCTGTGGAAAAAGGTCTCAGATAAGCAAGTATATCAACAAGACACTTTTAATCCCACAACATGCATGGTTTAAAAACACAAAGGGAGTTGTAGAGCGTGGTAGAGAATTGAACGGTTAAATCTGTACTGGTTCTGGTTGTGAGTAGGTGCAGAGCACTGTAAACCTATGTCTGGAGGTCAGGTGGTTTACGCTACTGTTTCCTATAGGAGGTGGGTATCAGTGACAACTATACACTTCAATAGTTTCACCTTCTTTAACCTCCATCATTGGGCGTGTTCATTATGGCACGCAAACGGAAAACGTTTTGCAACGGGAAACAAATGAGTCCAGGTAGTCACCTCCTTGTTTCAGTCAGTTCTCTTCTGTTTGGTGCCAAATGAACACGACCCAGTTCAAATAAACGTAAATCATGTACATTGGACTCATTCAGCATACGCTCTCATCTACAGTGTCTGCTTTCCTTGCTGTGTGTCAGTGGGGAAAACACTGTTGACTTACAGTTTCCAACAGGCTCTCTGTGAGTTTCTTTGCAGCTTCCAGCCCTGTGGAGTAGGGGTGGCTACAAGAAAAAGACAACAGTGTTGAAATGGGATGAAACCGATAACCACCACAGCAGGAAATAAACTCTTTCAGACACTACGAGACGAACAGAAGGTTCACCTAACATCTACGAGAGAGCAGCACGACTGATAGCTAGCCAACGTGTGGTGAGCAGTCTTCTGAATGCATACGAGTGAGCTGTAGAGCGTGGTAGAGAATTGAACGGTTAAGTCTGTACTGGTTCTGGTTGTGAGTAGGTGCAGAGCACTGTAAACCTATGTCTGGAGGTCAGGTGGTTTACGCTACTGTTTCCTATAGGAGGTGGGTATCAGTGACAACTATACACTTCAATAGTTTCACCTTCTTTAACCTCCAAATAGTTCACATGGCTTCTGTACTCATCACAGGTTGGTGTATATTGATAGTATAGTTGCTATGGCAACTTTCATGATTCTTATAAAAGGGTATTTTAAGCCCATGTTGGCTGGGCCGATAACGGCGTATGACCCTGAAATAAAAATAAAAATCTTACCTGATGTAGACGTAGAGTGGTTCGAAGGACTCCCGTCGTGAGGCCTGTTCTATGTACCCCGAGCCTTTCCCCCTGAGGAACACTCTGGCTCCCGTCTCGGTCTGGATGTGGGCCAGGTACATGCCCCCGGGACCCTCCACCTTCTCATTCACATTAAACGAGGGCAGGGCCTGGTCCAGACCCACAAAGATCTTGACGTGCACAAAACTCTTGAGGGGGAGAGATGAGAGTTACATATGGATGAGTCCTGTGTCAAGGTCAATACATTGTTAAAGGGATAGTTCAACCACCACATTACAAACATACTTCATCTTATGGATAACAGAAAGCACTAGAGTATGGAGCTACCGAGTGCTCTCCCTTTAATCCATCTAAATGACTACCTTGAGAATAGTGTTGTGAGCAGCAGCAGTAACCGTGGCGTGTCTGTAGACCAGGGTGGTTCTCTCTGCTGGGTTACTCTAGGAGGTGGGTATCAGTGAAGGCCACATGGTCTCAACTGGCCTCACCTTCTACTACCTCCAGATATGGGACATGGGCCAGATTGCAAACTGAAAACACGTTTCCCTCCCGCAAAATTGCGATAAAAACCCAAAGTTCCTACGTTTTTTTTTTGTTGAAATCCCAGTTAGAGGATTCCCAGAATCGGGAGGGAATCCTCCAAGCAGGATTTCTTAAAAACCTTCCAGGGAAAACAATTCTGTGAGGACCAGGGACCCCTGTACCTACCCCTTGGTGTGGCGCGGCAGGCCGGTGTCCATGTGGCAAGGGAGGGTTGACACTAGGCATCCTGGGCAGGTGTGGATGGAGGGCAGCCATGGGGCGAGGGGCCTGGGGGTAGAGAGGCAGGGGGGGTATGACGGGTCTCAGCTGGGATCCTAACGCTGCAGCTGTCCTCAACACATCCTCAGAGATGATCTCCTTTATCCTCAGCACTGCCTCTGGAAGACAACACAGGGAATACATAGACAAGGGGTCAATGGGGGAAATATGAGGATATTATACTGAGAAAAACAAAGGCCAGTCAACCACACCAACCCACGTAATCTTCATGACCACGTTGTGTAATTTACAGGATCTGAGGACAATAAAGTATCTATCACAAATGTAGACGGGAGGGTTATAGAGATTCTACTTACTGTTGACCTCCTCTTGGCTCTTTCCCTGGACGTGCAAATACAAAGGCCTTTCTCTAAATAAGAAGAGTCGGTTAGAACTCCACGTGGTCAGAGTCAACTGCAGATACACACAGTAACATCAACTGCATACATACACTCCTTTTCCATGGGACTTCTCTGCACTGGTCATGTAGTGGCCTCTGGTTGAGACTACTGCACCGCTGAACTGACGAATCTGAAACAAAGAGAACCCTTTCAGTATTAGTTGGGGCCACCAATACATAAAATGTATGTACACGTCGTCTAAATTGAATATATTAGATATATATTATACAGAAAGGGTTGTGATTCAGGCTGCTTGATGGTATCCACCTCCTTTTCATTCATATTGGAGGAAAGGGCCAAGGTCCCTCTCATCTGGCTTTCTCCACTGCATTTTAAGAAGGCGCTAAGTGGAGAGATGCGATGAAGACTCAGGTCTTTTTACCTCTTCCTGTGTTTTTCCTTTGGTGAGCAGGTTTCTGCTGTTGATGGGCACATCGTTGATGTCCACCTCTGTCACCACAGTCTCGTCTCCACCACTGGCAGCCGGCATACACGGAGGGATCTGTGGGCAAGACATGGGCAACACTTTTCATATGACTCAACATACAAACACTAAATAACTAGTCATGGTGATCATACAATATCATGAAGTTACGTCAGTGTTTGACCCTCCTGGGAAGCCACCAATGGTCCAGGCTTTAGTTCTGGTCTAGCGGACTACTAAAGCCCCTATTTGGTTGAATCTGATTGGTTAGTACTGGGCTGGAACAAAAGCCGGGACTCACAGCGTGCAGAAGGACCAGCACTGAGTTAGAGAGACTGCCTTGAGAATAGTGTTGTGAGCAGCAGCAGTAACCGTGGCGTGTCTGTAGACCAGGGTGGTTCTCTCTGCTGGGTTACTCTAGGAGGTGGGTATCAGTGAAGGCCACATGGTCTCAACTGGCCTCACCTTCTACTACCTCCAGTTATGGGACATGGCTACATTATATTATGTGGTTGAAAATAATGACAATCACTCTCTCTGTTCTCAGAGACAAGTAGCACCACCAATGGAAACCATTCTAGTCTGTGGCTTGTGCCTCTTATGACTGGCCATGTGACCCTTAGGACTGGATGAAAAGCCTACACAGTGGTTCCTCAGGACCAGGACTGAGTGAGAGAAAGTTACATTAACCCTTTCCCTCTCACCTTGCCAGGTAGTGGCGGAGGAACCATCAGTTTTCCCTTGGCCATCAGCATAGCATTGATCTTAGCAGCCATAGCCGCAGCCATCTCCACGCCTCCCCCCTGTGCTGCTGGCATGTCCCCCTGCAAGGTCTGGGGCACCAGTGGACCGGCTACAGGGTGCTGGGCTGATTGAGGGGTCGTAGGGGCCGATGTGCAGGTCTGGGCGGTCGCCACAGAGGATGCGAAGCCTTGCTCGACGTCTACCCTCGTTTTGGGCTGAGCAGGCTGATCCCATCTGCTGCTACTGGTTAGGCACCTGGATACATTATGATGGGGAGAAATGAGAGACATTTAATTCAACATCAAGTGGCTTGCAACAATAACTGAACTGGGACGCACTCCATATCATATCCAACAGTTAGGGACTAATTTGCCTGGTTGGCTATCTTTTCATCTAACTCAAGACAATATTGCAGGGCGGGATTCGAGGGCTATCTTGTGTTTGCAAGCTATTTAGCATAACACTAGTCGCGAATGCGCCGATGCTTGCCAACATTAGTGTTCGTAGGGTTAGTAGGCCTCGGCATTCACTTGAAAACTGTTCTGGCCTGCTCCTCTACAAATAATTTATCTTGGAGGGTAGTATCAGCAGGTAACCACAGCTTTAGAGAGACCGCTTTCTTGACCCTCCACGAACTAGTGATATGTTAGGTGGCTAGCTAACGTTAGACAAGGAAACTTAACCAGAAACCGGTGTTGCTAACTAGCTAGTTAACGTTAGCTCAATTAGCATACCGCTAACGTCTAGCCACGTTAGCACGGATCAACTTTACTGCTATGATAAAAACAAGAATCTACGACCGTGGCTTGGTCATCAATTTCGGATAAACTTTTACAAAATATTCTAGTTATAACGAATTGTACTTTCATGCAATGGAATAAGAACGTTACCTAGCTAGCTAGCAATAAAACCAGCAATCGCCGCTAACATGATTGTAGGTAGCTAACTTACCTAACATGTTAGCACGAAACTAAAATTCGTTTTCTTATCCAAAATATAAAAGTAAATGGTACTAAATAAAAAGTGTAACTTACGGTGTCTGCCCAGTCATCCCAGAAGACATAACTAGCACAGTTCAATTTGCAGAGGAATTTGTGTCCTAGCTAGCTACTCAGCGTTGCAGTCGTCCAGAGTCGTCATTCCACAGGACTCGGGTCCGGTCGTAAAGGCGGTTTCCTTGCCAACGTTGTAGTACAGGGCAGTCCGGGTTTCCTTGCCAACGTTGTAGTACAGGGCAGTCCGGGTTTCCTTGCCAACGTTGTAGTACAGGGCAGTCCGGGTTTCCTTGCCAACGTTGTAGTACCGGGCAGTCCGGGTTTCCTTGCCAACGTTGTAGTACCGGGCAGTCCGGGTTTCCTTGCCAACGTTGTAGTACAGGGCAGTCCGGGTTTCCTTGCCAACGTTGTAGTACCGGGCAGTCCGGGTTTCCTTGCCAACGTTGTAGTACAGGGCAGTCCGGGTTTTCGTCACGCTCGTAATAAAAGCGTCTCGGGACTTCACACTGCCCTCATCTGCATAACACCGGAGCAAAGTCAATGAAAAGATGACAAATCCTTCTTCTTCGTGTGGCTTTCCGGCAGACTAGACGCTGTTGCCTTTCACAGTTTGGAAAGTGCATTGCACATTTGTTAATTTTTTAAAAATTAAATGAAATAACTCAAATATATGTGTTGCATAAGTATTTACCCTGGTTGTTTAGGCAAGCCTAAATTAGTTCAGAAGTACAATTTGGCTTAACAAATTAGTTCAGAAGTACAATTTGGCTTAACAAATCACGTAATACATTCTATGGACTCACTCTGTGTGAAATAACAGGGGTTGACATGATTTCTGAATGACTACCCCTTCCTCTGTCACCCATAGATGCAACATATGTAAGGCCCCTCAGTGAAGTGTAAATGTAAATGAAGTGTTGAATTTCAAGCACAGATTAAACTACAAAGACCAGGGAGCTTTTCAAAAGCCTCATAAAGAAGGGCAGTGATTGGTAGATGTGTAACAATAACAAATCAGACATTGAATATATCTTTAAGCATGGTCAAGTTAATAATGATGCTGCGGATTATGTATTAAACCACCCAGACACATCAAAGATGCAGTCCTCCTTCTGAACTGAGCTGCAGGACAGGAAGGAAACTGCTTAGGGATGTCACCATGAGGCCATTGGTAATTTAAAAATGGCTACAGAGTTCAATGGCTGTGATGGGAGAAAACTGCGGATGGATCAACAACATTGTAGTGACTCCACAATAATAATAATAAAGAAAAAATGGTGCCGGAGTGGATGGCTGCCGTTTTACGGGCTCCTAACCAACTGTGCTATTTTGTTCGTTTTTTCGTGTTGTTTGTAACTTATTTTTTAACTTATTGTGTACATAATGTTGCTGCTACCTTCTCTTATGACCGAAAATAACTTCTGGACATCAGAACAGCGATTACTCACCTCGAACTGGACTAATATTTTTTCTTTAACGAGTCCGATGCGAAGGATATACTGCTTTCTTGGGAACGGGCCCAAATCCCCGTCATTTGCATGAAGTACAATGTGTACTCATCTGACCTTGTTTTGTGTCAGCACATGTATTGTGGAACTGCACTCACATGCCCCGCCATACCATGTCCTTGAATGTAATGAAAATGGATGCACTCACTAACTGTAAGTCGCTCTGGATAAGAGCGTCTGCTAAATGACTAAAATGTAAATGTAAAATGAAAAGACGTAGAAAAGGGAGGTGGGGGTGGGGGTGGGGTGGTTTGGGGTCGGGCTGCCTTCTGAGAATTCGTAGGCGAGTGAGTAAACCTCCACTACCATCCGTTCTATTGGCCAACGTGCAGTCATTGGAAAACAAAATGGATGATCTACGATCAAGAATCCTACTACACCGGCTCTGACGCTCGTCGGATGTGGCAGGGCTTGAAAACTATTACGACTACAAAGGGAAACCCAGCCGCGAGCTGCCCAGTGACACAAGCCTACCAGACGAGCTAAATGCCTTTTATGCTCGCTTCGAGGCAAGCAACACTGAGCACCAGCTGTTCCGGACGACTGTGTGATACCGCTCTTGGTAGCCCATGTGAGCAAGACCTTTAAAACAGGTCAACATTCACAAAGCCGCGGGGGCCAGACGGATTACCAGGACGTGTACTCAAAGCATGCGCGGACCAACTGGCAAGTGTCTTCACTGACATTTTCAACCTCTCCCTGACCGAGTCTGTAATACCTTCATGTTTCAAGCAGACCACCATAGTCCCTGTGGACAAGGAAGTGAAGGTAACCTGCCTGCATTATTACCGCCCCGTAGCACTCACGTTGGTAGCAATGAAGTAGCAATGAAGCCTTTGAAAGGCTGGTCATGGCTCACATCAACAGCATCATCCCGGGAATACCCTAGACCCACTCCAATTCACATACCGCCCCAACAGATCCACAGATGACGCAATCTCAATCGCACTTCACACTGCCCTTTCCCACCTGGACAAAAGGAACACCTATGTGAGATTTCCTGACGGGCCGCCACCAGGTGGTAAGGGTAGGGAACAACACGTCTGCCACGCTGATCCTCAACACTGGGGCCCCTCAGGGGTGCGTGCTTAGTCCTCTCCTATACTCCCTGTTCACCTACTACTACTTGGCCAAACACGACTCCAATACCATCATTAAGTTGGTGTCCACATCACCAACAAACTATCATGGTCCAAACACACCAAGTCAGTCGTGAAGAGGGCACAACAACACCTTTTCCCCCTCAGGAGACTGAAAATATTTGGCATGGGTCCCCAGATCCTCAAAAAGTTATACAGCTGCACCATCGAGAGCATTCTCATCCCATACACAAAAATGTATGCACGCACGACTGTAAGTCGCTTTGGATAAAAGCGTCTGCTAAATGGCATATTATTATTATTATTTATTATATTATTCTGACCGGTTGCATCACCACCTGGTATGGCAACTGATCGGCATCTGACCGTAAGGTGCTACAGAGGGTAGTGCGTACGGCCCAGTACATCACTGGGGCCTAGCTTCCTGCCATCCAGGACCTCTATACTAGGCGGTGTCAGAGGAAAGCCCAAACAATTGTCAAAGACTCCAGTCACCCAATTCATAGACTGTTCTCTCTGCTACCGCACGGCAAGTGGTACCGGAGTGCCAAGTCTATGACCAAAAGGCTCCTTAACAGCTTCTACCCCAGCCATAAGACTGCTGAACAATTAATCAATGGCTACCTGGACTATTTACATTGACACCCCCCCATTTGTTTTTACAATGCTGCTACCTATTATCTGCAGTTGAAGTCGGAAGTTTACATACACTTAGGTTGGAGTCATTAAAACTAGTTTTTCAACCACTCCACAAATTTCTTGTTAACAAACTATAGTTTTGGCAAGTCGGTTAGGACATCTACTTTGTGCATGACACAAGTAATTATTCCAACAATTGTTTACAGACAGATTATTTCATTTATAATTCACTTTATTACAATTCCAGTGGGTCAGAAGTTTACATACACTAAGTTGACTTTGCCTTTAAACAGCTTGGAAAATTCCAGAAAATAATGTCATGGCTTTAGAAGCTTCTGATAGGCTAATTGACATCATTTGAGACAATCAGCCAAGACCTCAGAATAAAAATGGTAGACCTCCACAAGTCTGGTTCATCCTTGGGAGCAATTTCCAAACGCCTGAAGGTACCACGTTCATCTGTTCAAACAATAGTACGCAAGTATAAACACCATGGGACCACGCAGCCGTCATACCGCTCAGGACGGAGACGCGTTCAGTCTCCTAGAGATGAACGTACTTTGGTGCGAAAAGTGCAAATCAATCCCAGAACAACAGCAAAGGACCTTGTGAAGATGCTGGAAGAAACAGGTACAAAAGTATCTATATCCACAATAAAACAAGTCCTATATCAACATAACCTGAAAGGCCGCTCAGCAGGGAAGAAGCCACTGCTCCAAAACCGCCATAAAAAAAGCCAGACTACGGTTTGCAACTGCACATGGGGACAAAGATCATAATTTTTGGAGAAATGTCCTCTGGTCTGATAAAACAAAAATAGAACTGTTTGGCCATAATGACCATCGTTATGTTTGGAGGAAAAAGGGGAAGGCTTGCAAGCCAAAGAACACCATCCCAACTGTGAAGCACGGGGGTGGCAGCATCATGCTGTGGGGGTGCTTTGCTGCATGAGGGACTGGTGCACTTCACAAAATAGATGGCATCATGAGGAAGGAAAATTATGTGGATATATTGAAGCAACATCTCAAGACATCAGTCAGAAAGTTAAAGCTTGGTCGTAAATGGGTCTTCCAAATGGACAATGACCCCAAGCATTCTTCCAAAGGTGTGGCAAAATGGCTTAAGGACAACAAAGTCAAGGTATTGGAGTGGCCATCACAAAGCCCTGACCTCAATCCTATAGAACATTTGTGGGCAGAACTGAAAAGGCGTGTGCGAGCAAGGAGGCCTCCAAACCTGACTCAGTTACACCAGCTCTGTCAGGAGGAATGGGCCAAAATTCACCCAACTTATTGTGGGAAGCTTGTGGAAGGCTACCCGAAACGTTTGACCCAAGTTAAACAATTTAAAGGCAATGCTACCAAATACTAATTGAGTGTATGTAAACTTCTGACCCACTGGGAATGTGATGAAAGAAATAAAAGCTGAAATAAATCATTCTCTCTACTATTATTCTGACATTTCACATTCTTAAAATAAAGTGGTGATCCTAACTGACCTAAGACAGGGAATATTTACCTGTCTCTATCTGTGTGTGTGTACCCCTGTCTCTATCTGTGTGTGTGTGTACCCGTCTCTATCTGTGTGTACCCGTCTCTATCTGTGTGTACCCTTGTCTCTATGTGTGTGTACCCGTCTCTATCTGTGGGTGTACCCGTCTCTATCTGTGGGTGTTCCAGTCTCTATATGTGTGTACCCCTGTCTCTATGTGTGTGTACCCATCTCTATCTGTGTGCACCCGTCTTTTATCTGTGTGTACCCATCTCTATATATGTGTGTGTGTACCCGTCTCTATCTGTGTGTGTGTGTACCCATGTCTCTATCTGTGTGTGTGTACCCCTGTCTCTATCTGTGTGTGTACCCATCTCTGTGTGTGTACCCGTCTATCTGTGTGTACCCGTCTCTAGCTGTGTGTGTACCCGTCTCTATATATGTGTGTGTGTACCTGTCTCTATCTGTGTGTGTGTACCCCTGTCTCTATCTGTGTGTGTGTACCCCTGTCTCTATCTGTGTGTGTACCCATCTCTGTGTGTGTACCCCTGTCGATATCTCTGTGTGTGTACCCTGGTCTCTATGTGTGTACCCCTGTCTCTATCTGTGTGTGTACCCGACTCTGTGTGTGTGTGTGTACCCGACTCTGTGTGTGTGTGTGTACCCCTGTCTCTTATCTGTGTGTACCCGTCTAGATGCGTACCCCTGTCTCTATGTGTCTGTACCCCGTCTCTATCTGTGTGTGTACCAGTCTATCTGTGTGTACCCGTCTCTAGCTGTGTGTGTACCCGTCTCTATATGTGTGTGTGTGTACCTGTCTCTATCTGTGCGTATCCCTGTCTCTATCTGTGCGTACCCGTCTATATGTGTACCCCTGTCTCTATGTGTCTGTACCCCTGTCTCTATCTGTGTGTGTACCCGTCTATCTGTGTGTACCCGTCTCTAGCTGTGTGTGTACCCGTCTCTATCTCTGTGTGTACCCGTCTCTATCTGTGTGTACCCCTGTCTCTATTTGTGTGTGTACCCCTGTCTCTGTGTACCCCTGTCTCTGTGTGTACCCCTGTCTCTATCTGTGTGTGTACCCGTCTCTCTCTGTGTGTGTACCCCTGTCGCTATCTCTGTGTGTGTACCCTGGTCTCTTATCTGTGTGTACCCGTCTCTATCTGCGTGTGTGTACCCCTGTCTCTATCTGTGTGTGTACCCCTGTCTCTATCTGTGTGTACCCCTGTGTGTACCCCTGTCTCTATCTGTGTGTGTACCCATCTCTTATCTGTGTGTACCCGTCTCTATCTGTGCATACCCGTCTATCTGTGCGTACCCCTGTGTGTACCCCTGTCTCTATCTGTGTGTGTACCTGTCTCTATCTGTGCGTATCCGTGTGTGTACCCCTGTCTCTATCTGTGTGTGTACCCCTGTGTGTACCCCTGTCTCTATCTGTGTGTGTACCCGTCTCTTATCTGTGTGTACCCGTCTCTATATGTGCGTACCCGTCTCTATCTGTGCGTACCCGTCTCTATGTGCGTGTACCCCTGTGCGTGTACCCCTGTCTCTATGTGCGTGTACCCCTGTCTCTATCTGCAACTATACCAAATATGACATATCATACTAATTTGAATGTTACAGATTTATGTTAACTGTGTTACGTCTAGTCTATGAGGCCAGGCTGAAAGGCTCAACTAAACTCAGAAGAGAGAAGTGGGTAGGGTTGGTAGTGAGACTTAGCATACAGTAGAGTAGACATACATGATACAATATAAATGACATCAACTATATCAACTGACACACTGTATACTGTATATAATAAATATAAATAAATTGGTCATTTAGCAGACGCTCTTATCCAGAGCGACTTACAGGAGCAATTAGGGTTAAGTGCCTTGCTCAAGGGCACATCGACAGATTTTTCACCTAGTCGGCTCGGGGATTAGAACCAGCAACCTTTCGGTTACTGGTACAACGCTCTATATTACAGCAGTAACAGCAGGCTATCTCCATGTCCAAGGCATCACAAGTGTGACCGTTCAGCCACATTATATGTATTTCAGTGTGTGTGTGTGTTGAGATAGACGGAGAGAGAGAGAGAGAGAGAGCGAGAGGGGGAGAGATATAGAGAGCGAGATGGAGGGGCAGACAGAGATAGAGAGAGATAGACGGAGAGAGAGAGAGAGCGAGAGGGGGAGAGATATAGAGAGCGAGATGGAGGGGCAGACAGAGATAGAGAGAGATAGACGGAGAGAGAGAGAGCGAGAGGGGGAGAGATATAGAGAGCGAGATGGAGGGGCAGACAGAGATAGAGAGAGATAGACGGAGAGAGAGAGATAGAGAGGGGGAGAGATATAGAGAGCGAGATGGAGGGGCAGACAGAGATAGAGAGAGATAGACGGAGAGAGAGAGAGAGCGAGAGGGGGAGAGATATAGAGAGCGAGATGGAGGGGCAGACAGAGATAGATAGACGGAGAGGGAGAGATATAGAGAGCGAGATGGAGGGGCAGACAGAGATAGAGAGAGATAGACGGAGAGAGAGAGAGAGCGAGAGGGGGAGAGATATAGAGAGCGAGATGGAGGGGCAGACAGAGATGGAGAGAGAGAGAGATAGAGATTGTGAGTCCTGACCAGTAAATTGTCTCATTACTGAAAACATGGTGCAACAGAAGTAATTGTCATTATTTTATTCTCCATTGAATCATTTCTAATTTATTTCATTTTTTTTGGTGCCTTCAGACCAGGAGTAGTAGTGAATCAGAAGGATCAAACTAATTCCCTGATTGAGTGTACAATTCTCCCTTAAAGAGTTATTAAGTTACTCATCGGTCAATAATAATACACATCATCATCAACCAACGTTTGCTTATGTGTTATGGCATTTTTATATATATATATACTGTTTAAATAGGAAATAATCTTAATAAGCAACATTCTTTAACATATATTAGTATCCTAATCTGAAACCACCCTTGGGCAGAGCATATTCCCTGGGTAAAGTGACTCCTTGTCTGCGTGTTACAAGGATCTTGGACAAAATGGCCAGTGACAGGACGATGTTGGTTAACATCAAGTCAAAGCAAGCTGGTTTCTAGGAGACAGGGGGAAAAGACAGTGATAGACAATTCTGTGATCCACATCCTTAATTAATCGTTATAATCATATATGTAGCGTCCCAAATGGCACCCTATTCCCTATATAGTGCACTACTTTTGACCAGAGGTACATTTAATTGGGAATAGGGTGCTATTTGGGACGCAATCATAGTTCCTCTGTTTACAAGACTGAAATGTTTCTCTACCAACCCCAACGACACATTTCACAGCATGTACCCAGATAGTTAATAAGTTTGTTTTGTTTTTCCTGTCACTCCAGTGTAAAATTCACAGGTCTATAAAAATATTGAGATTTACTTGAACATAACATTTTTTTTTTCCTGACTATGTTATTAAAAACGTCCGTATGTCCTTATCCGTTGCACAGTGGGGTGTATTAGAGCTGGGACGGTGTTCCGTAGCTCTACAGTGTACTGTAGAAATAGTGTATAAAATAAGGCAGTCTGTTTCAGTAGGATAAACCTGATACAAAAAATCCCCGGGAGAAAAATCATCTTTCAAGTCCAAAACACAGTTATTCTTTCTTCTTCACAGATATGTGCTGTAGCAGGATGGCGTGCGCTCGTTTGTTCGGTCGGTCAACAGCGTTTGTTTAAATCGACAGACAGGTGGGTTTGCCGATGGACACACACACACAAACTCGCAGAGGTGATAGACAACAATACAGCTTATTCCGACAAGTTAACGTCCCGATTCCCCTCCATGGACTAAATCACTGAGACATTATAGACAATTCAACTGTTGTTTTACAGTGCAATACAAATATGTCCATTCAAACTGGTGCTGTAGTAAAATAAAATGTTTTATAATGTTGATGTTTTCTTATGGATAATAATCCTGCTCCTCCTCATGGACAATACTCATAGTTATATAATATTATGTTATTCAGCTTTGGCTTTTCTTTCCTTCATATTTTCTTAATTTTGTTCTAATTTATTCATCATCGTCTTTCATCTTCATCATCACAAAATAAAAAAATACCAAATTGTCTATAATAATGACCTGGCTGTGTGACCAAGATGTCTGAATGTTTGTTTGTGTCTTTCACCAGTGGCCTGAGGACAGTTAGTTAGCTCCACCCACTGAACACCCCCAAACCCCACCCACCCGTATGTCTCTGGATATGTCCCAAATGGCACCCCATTCCCTTTACAGTGCACTACTTTTGACCAGGGCCTATAGGGTACTAGTCCACTACTTTTGACTAGGGTTCTGGTCTAAAGTAGTGCGCTATAAAAGGGAATCTGGTGGCATATGGAACATACTTTCAGTGTGTTTAGGACGGCCTCGTGTCCCATCCCATCGCTACAGGTCCTCTAGTGGACCACGTGTTTCTGCAGGACAAACAAACAAAGGAAATACAGCTAGAAGACATAGTAAAGGGTGGTGGAGGTGTAGTTCAGTCTGGTGGCCACTGGGGGGCGATAGAGGGTAGTGAGGTCTGACGTGGATTTGACACCGGGCCGTCCCAAATGGCACCCTATTCTCCATAAAGTGCACTTCTTATGACCAGAGCCCCATAGACTTTTATCCTAAAATTAGTGCACTATATAGGGAATAGGGTGCCATTTGGGACGAAACCTGTGTAATGTGAACTCTCCATCAGCCGATCCTCAAAAACAGTTTCTCATTGGAGGTGCCAGAGACTTGAAACCACCTGACATCTCAATATTCAGTTTGTTTGTGTGTTTCTTTTCTCTGTAGCTTTCTACCAACAGCGAACCAGCAGTCAGTCTGCAGAGAGACGGCAACATCATCAGCCTCCGACTGACAGAGAGACAGAGAGAGAGAGAGAGAGAGGCAGGGGGAACCCGTGTGTGTGAGAGTATTAGGGGGATGGTACATCCATCACCAGGTTGGCTGGGAGAAGAACCGTCCCTCACACAGCCTCACTGGCAGCAGTAGGCGCATACAGTCAAGCCCATCATTCACTGGTAGTTTATAAGGACTCTGAGGCTCCGCGTGTCTGTCCGTCGTCCATCCTCAGCTGGCGAGGTTTACGTATGAAGCAAGAGCCTGGTGTTGCTGCAGCTTGTCCGTCCGTCCGGTCTGTCCGTCCGTCTGTCAGTATGTGTTGTCTCTGTTGGACGGACATGTGGACGCTTGGTGGCGTGCTACACAGAAGCAGGAGAGTGAAGGCTTGGTAGCCCTGGACGGAGCTGGGCTGACAGGGAGAGAGAGGAGATGAGGAGGACAGGAACCAGGGAGGGGCCCGGGGCCCGGCGTCGACCCAAGACAGGGTGCTCCTACTCTGGGGGAGGACGCAGGCTGTGCAGCTTCCGCTCGTCCAGGCCTTTCCAGTACTTGAAGTTGTTGTCCAGGTGCTGCATGAGGTTGGGAAGGTCTGCGAACGCTGGGGACAAAATATAATTGATTAATTAATTAATTAATTAATTAATTGACAGATTGATTTAGGACAGGTTAAAATGAGGATGTTCAGTCAGTACAGTCAGTACCATACAGATGTACTGACTATGTTGCTCTGGACAACAGCAGTCTGCTAAATGACCAATATGGAAAAGGTAAAGTCGCTCTGGATAAGAGCGTCTGCTAAATGACTTAAATGTAAATGTAATGTAAATGTAAAAACATACAGGGTAGCACATGAAGGTATCTAGCAAAGAACAGGTTTAAGAGTCAAGTTATTCAGCATTAAATAATGACCCAGAAAGAATGTGATAGCCTATAGGCCAACAGATGACTGGGCCTATTGTGGACTAAACAGGTGACTGTGTTCTATCCTGTAGACTATGTAGCTATACTGTAGACTAGTGCTATTAGACTATGTAGCTAACTGTAACTATGTACTGTACTGTAGACTATGTAGCTGTACTGTAGACTATTACTATCTGTAGACTATAATGGTACTATCCTTAACTATTAGCTATACTGTAGACTATGTAGCTATATGCTGACTGTAGACTATGTAGCTGTAACTGTAGACGATAGTATCCTGTAGACTAGTCTATGTAGACTATGTGCTGTACGTAACTATGTAGCTACTGCTAGACTATGTAGCTGTACTGTAGCCATGTAGCTATCCGTAGACTATTAGCTGTACTGTAGACTATGTAGCTGTACTGTAGACTATGTAGCTGTACTGTAGACTATGTAGCTGCTGTAGACTATGTAGCTGTACTGTAGACTATTGGCCTATACTGTAGACGATGTAGCTATCCCTGTAGACTATGTAGCTGTACTGTAGACTATGTAGCTGTACTGTAGACTATGTAGCTCCTTAGATATGTAGCTGTACTGTAGACTATGTAGCTATCCTGTAGACTATGTATCTGTACTGTAGACTATGTAGCTGTACTGTAGACTATGTAGCTATCCTGTAGACTTGTAGCTGTACTGTAGACTATGTAGCTTATCCTGTAGACTATGTAGCCTGTATCTGTAGACTATGTAAGCGGTACTGTAGACTATGTAGCTGTACTGTAGACTATGTAGCTGTACTGTAGACTATGTAGCGTATCTGTAGACTATGTAGCTATACTGTAGCTATGTAGCTATCCTGTAGACTATGTAGCTGTCTGTAGACTATGTACTGTACTGTAGACTATGTAATGCTGTACTGTAGACTATGTAGCTATCTGTAGACTATGTAGCTGTACTGTAGACTATGTAGCTTACTGTAGACTATGTAGCTATCCTGTAGACTATGTAGCCTTGATTCTGTAGACTAGTAGCTTATGTAGACTATGTAGCTTACTGTAGACTATGTAGCTGTACTGTAGACTATGTAGCTATACTGTAGACTATGTAGCTGACTGTAGACTATGTAGCTATACTGTAGACTATGTAGCTGTACTGTAGACTATGAGCTATCTGTAGACTATGTAGCTGTACTGTAGACTATGTAGCTATACTGTAGACTATGTAGCTTACTGTAGACTATGTAGCTACTGTAGACTATGTAGCTTCTGTAGACGTAATGTGTACGCTTGTAGCCTGTAGACTATGTAGCTGTACCTGTAGACTATGTAGCTATACTGTAGACTATGTAGCTGTACTGTAGACTATGTAGCTGTACTGTAGACTATGTAGCTTACTGTCAGACTATGTAGCTGTACTGTAGACTATGTAGCTGTACTGTAGACTATGTAGCTTACTGTAGACTATGTAGCTACTGTAGACTATGTAGCGTCTGTAACATGTAGCTATCTGAGACTATGTAGCTGTACTGTAGACTATGTAGCTGTACTGTAGACTATGTAGCTACTGTGACTATGTAGCTACTGTAGACTGTAGCTGTACTGTAGACTATGTAGCTATCTGTAGACTATGTAGCTATACTGTAGACTATGTAGCGTACTGTAGACTATGTAGCTTCCTGTAGACTATGTAGCTGTATCTGTAGACTATGTAGCTTATACTGTAGACTATGTAGCTGTACTGTAGACTATGTAGCTATCTGTAGACTATGTAGCTACTGTAGACTATGTAGCTTCTGTAGACTATGTAGCTATCCTGTAGACTATGTAGCTGTACTGTAGACTATGTAGCTGTCTGTAGACTATGTAGCTATACTGTAGCCTATGTAGCTGTACTGTAGACTAATGTAGACTAGTACTCTGTAGACTATGTAGCTATCTGTAGACTATGTAGCTATACGTGGACTGAGTTACTTAGACTATGTAGCTACTGTAGACTATGTAGCTGTACTGTAGACTATGTAGCTGTACTGTAGACTATGTAGCTTACTGTAGACTATGTGCTGTAGACTGCTACTGTGACTAGTAGCTTCGTAGACTATGTAGCTATGGACTATGATCCTGTAGACTATGTAGCTGTACTGTAGACATGTAGCTACTGTAGACTATGTAGCTGTACGTGTAGACTAGTAGCTTCGTAGACTAGTAGCTTCTGTAGACTATGTAGCTTACTGTACTATGTAGCTATCCGTTAGACTATGTAGCTGTCTGTAGACTATGTAGCTATCTGTAGACTATGTACTTCTGTAGACTATGTATGTACTGTAGACTATTAGCTTACTGTAGACTATGTAGCTATCCTGTCTAGTACTGTAGATGTAGCTTACTGTAGACTATGTAGCTGTACTGTAGACTATGTAGCTATCCTGTTAGACTAGAGCTATCTGTAGACTAGTAGCTGTACTGTTAGACTATGTAATGCTTACTGTAGACTATGTAGCTTATGTAACTGTAGACTATCGTAGACATGTCTTCTGTGACTATGTAGCTACTGTAGACTATGTAGCTTCCTGTAGACTATGTAGCTATCCTGTATATGACTATGTAGACATGTAGTCCTGTAGACTATGTAGCTGTACTGTAGACTATGTAGCTATACTGTAGACTATGTAGCTAGTACTGTAGACTATGTAGCTGTACTTTTAGACTATGTAGCTATCTGTAGACTATGTAGCTTATGTAGACTATGTAGCTGTACTGTAGACTATGTAGCTAGTCTGTAGACTATGTAGCTTACTGTAGACTATGTAGCTGTACTGTAGACTATGTAGCTTCTGTAGACTATGTAGCGTACGTAGACTATGTAGCTTATGTAGACTAGTGCTACCTGTAGACTATGTAGCTATCTGTAGACTATGTAGCTGTACTGTAGACTATGTAGCTATACTGTAGACTATGTAGTCTGTAGGATGTAGCTATCACTTTAGACTATGTAGCTGATGTAGACTATGTAGCTGTACTGTAGACATGTCTGTACTGTAGCTTGTAGCTTCCTGTAGACTATGTAGCTTACTGTAGACTATGTAGCTGTACTGTAGACTAGATGTTAGCTTACTGTAGACTATGTAGTTACTGTAGATGTAGATGTAGACTAGTACTACGTAGACTATGTAGCTGTACTGTAGACTATGTAGCTATCTGTAGACTATGTAGCTGTACTGTAGACTATGTAGCTATCTGTAGACTATGTAGCTGTACTGTAGACTATGTACGTACTGTAGACTGTAGCTATAGAAGTCTTCCTGTAGACTATGTAGCTGTACTGTAGACTATGTAGCTATACTGTAGACTAGAGTATGTAGCTATGTACTGTATAGACTATGTAGCTATCTGTAGACTATGTAGCTATCTGTAGACTATGTAGCTACTGTACTGTAGACTATTGTAGCTATGTACACTGTAGACTATGTAGCTTACTGTAGACTATGTAGCTGTACTGTAAATGAGCTTATGTAGCTAGTACTGTAGACTATGTAGCTATACTGTAGACTATGTATCTGTGACTTGTATACTGTAGATATGTGCTTACTGTAGACTATGTAGCTGTACTGTAGACTATGTAGCTATCACTGTAGACTATGTAGCTGTACTGTAGACTATGTAGCTTCTGTGAGACTATTGTAGACGTAGTAGCTACTGTAGACTATGTAGCTGTACTGTAGACTATGTAGTCTGTATGTAGACTATGTAGCTGTACTGTAGACTATGTAGCTATCCTGTAGACTATGTAGCTGTACTGTAGACTATGTAGCTATACTGTAGACTATGTAGCTGTACTGTAGACTATGTAGCCTGTACTGTAGGACTATGTAGCTGATACCTGTAGACTATGTAGCTGTACTGTAGACTATGTAGCTGTACTGTAGACTATGTAGCTGTACTGTAGACTTATGTAGCTGTACTGTAGACTATGTAGCTGTACTGTAGACTATGTAGCTGTACTGTAGACTATTACTGTACCTGTAGACTATGTAGCTACTGTAGTGTAGTAGTAGACTATGTAGCTATCTGTAGACTATGTAGCTGTACTGTAGACTATGTAGCTGTCTGTCTATGTAGCGTATGTAGATATAGCTGTACTGTAGACTATGTAGCTTGGAATTACTGTAACTATGTAGCTGTACTGTAGACTATGTAGCTATACTGTAGACTATGTAGCTATCTGTAGACTATGTAGCTGTACTGTAGACTATGTAGCTGTACTGTAGACTATGTAGCTTCTGAGACTATTAGCTGTACTGTAGACTATGTAGCTGTACTGTAGACTATGTAGCTGTACTGTAGACTATGTAGCTATACTGTAGACTGACTTGTAACATGTAGCTTCTGTAGACTATGTAGCTGTACTGTAGACTATGTAGCTGTACTGTAGACTATTAGTTCGTAGCTATGTAGCTTATGTAGACTATGTAGCTAGTACTGTAGACTATGTAGTCGTAGACTACTTGTAGACTATGTAGCTGTACTGTAGACTATGTAGCTGTACTGTAGACTATGTAGCTGTACTGTAGACTATGTAGCTGTCCTGTAGACTATGTAGCTGTACTGTAGACTATGTAGCTGTACTGTAGACTATGTAGCTGTACTGTAGACTATGTAGCTGTACTGTAGACTATGTAGCTGTACTGTAGACTATGTAGCTGTACTGTAGACTATGTAGCTATACTGTAGACTATAGTAGCTGTACTGAACTATGTAGCTGTACTGTAGACTATGTAGCTGTAATTACTGTAGACTATGTAGCTGTACTGTAGACTATGTAGCTATCTGTAGACTATGTAGCTGTACTGTAGACTATGTAGCTATCCTGTAGACTATGTAGCTATCCTGTAGACTATGTAGCTATCCTGTAGACTATGTAGCTGTACTGTAGACTATGTAGCTGTACTGTAGACTATGTAGCTGTACTGTAGACTATGTAGCTATCCTGTAGACTATGTAGCTGTACTGTAGACTATGTAGCTATCCTGTAGACTATGTAGCTGTACTGTAGACTATGTAGCTGTACTGTAGACTATGTAGCTGTCCTGTAGACTATGTAGCTATCCTGTAGACTATGTAGCTGTACTGTAGACTATGTAGCTATCCTGTAGACTATGTAGCTATCCTGTAGACTATGTAGCTATCCTGTAGACTATGTAGCTGTACTGTAGACTATGTAGCTATACTGTAGACTATGTAGCTGTACTGTAGACTATGTAGCTATACTGTAGACTATGTAGCTGTACTGTAGACTATGTAGCTATCCTGTAGACTATGTAGCTGTACTGTAGACTATGTAGCTGTACTGTAGACTATGTAGCTGTACTGTAGACTATGTAGCTGTACTGTAGACTATGTAGCTATCCTGTAGACTATGTAGCTGTACTGTAGACTATGTAGCTATCCTGTAGACTATGTAGCTGTACTGTAGACTATGTAGCTGTACTGTAGACTATGTAGCTATCCTGTAGACTATGTAGCTATCCTGTAGACTATGTAGCTGTACTGTAGACTATGTAGCTGTACTGTAGACTATGTAGCTGTACTGTAGACTATGTAGCTGTACTGTAGACTATGTAGCTATCCTGTAGACTATGTAGCTGTCCTGTGTAGACAATAGATGGGAAACTGGCGGCTGGTGGTTTTGTAGGACTGCGGACCAATTTCCCAAAACATTCTTTGTTTTATTATTTTCAGAACTCAGTCGGGGTCTCAACCTGCTTAGAATACACAAGGTGCAATTTGGTTTCGCATCAGCAGTTTTTCTCTTGTTATGTCAGTCAGTGACAGTCACTTACCCATGTCAGCAAAAACATTATAGATTGGTAAATCAGTCTAGCCAGTCTTAAGGTCTAAGGGAAGGTTGCTCATGATGCGAGCGGCTGTGCCCCACAACACTGACTGTGTTAGCTGCTGAGCTGAAGCTTAGGCATTAGATTCAGGGAGCTAACTAGTCTTTAAGTCCTCTGTTACATGGAGCAGATAGGGTCATAGTATAGCAGTTAACAGTTATTACCGTCCCAAGCATCGAAACACCGTTAGCCCGTTCAGCTGAAGCCTAGACCTTAGATCAGGTAGCTAACGTAAGTCCTTACCATCCCAGGCGTCGAACATGTCTGTAATAAAGTAGTCTATGAAGGAGATCTGGGACTTAGGAATGCTGCAGGTGTTCCTGTCAAACACAGGCATGACCACTGGCAGGCTCTGTCTCTTCTCCTCGTCAGTCTGAAACAAACACACACACACACACACACACAGTGTTTAGCGCACAGACACACACACACAAACGCACACACAGTGTCTTTACTGAGTGTGTACCAATATTTCCTGGCTGGTACAGTACATCTAATCAAAACAATCAATGAATGCTGCTCCAGTCTGCTATGTGTTTCACATTCCACATCGGCTAACTGCTGAATTCCCAAAGGTACGCTGCTCTGCTGTTTCTATTAGCATTCCAAACCGCAGCATCACGTTTCCCTCATCATCTCCCCTCTCACTACTGTCCTGTACCTGTGCAAAGTATTCTTCTGAGATGCGCCCCGCCCATTCTATACACAGCTCCAGCGGTCGGCACGGATTGGAGATGTCGGCACACTTGATCAGCATGCGCTTGACAAGGATCCGGTTGTCTGGGGACGTTAGGATGCCTTTGACAGACTCCTCGTCACCGATTCCCTAAGGAGAGGTCACACACACACACACACACACACAAGCACGTAGACACACACAGGTACGCACGGGCGCAGACACACACGCAGACACACATTCAGAAAGGCTCAGACACACACATGCAAACACACAAACAGAGAAAGGCAGACAGCGTTTTAGTTTGATTGCTAACTGTGTTAGACAGCGTTTTAGTTTGACTGCTAACTGTGTTAGTGTTTTAGTTTGACTGCTAACTGTGTTAGACAGTTTGTTTGATTGCTAACTGTGTTAAACATAGTTTTAGTTTGATCGCTAACTGTGTTAGACATGGTGTTCCTTTGATTGCTAACTGTGTTAGTGTTTTAGTTTGATTGCTAACTGTGTTACAGTTAGCAATCAAACTAACTCTGTAACACAGTTAGCAATCAAAGGAAACTGTGTTAGACAAAGTTTGATTGTGAACTTTGTTAGTCAGAGTTTTAGTTTGATTACTAACTGTGTTTGACAAAGTTAGTTTGATTGCAAACTGTTAGTCAGAGTTTTAAAGAACACAACCATCTGGCTAGGTGGGGAG